CTAGAACCTAATCTACAAATTTCCAAATTAACAAAAATATGAAGTGCATGCATCTAAAAATGTGCAGATCGCATCAGTAACCCCTTTTTGCCAGTCAGTGATTTAAAAACCAAAGGGTCAGCTAAGTGCCTGTTCACAGATATGCGGATTGGATGCAGTTTCAACCGCATCCAATGCCCATGACATGTGAAAAACATTGCTTCCTATGGTGCCTGTTCACATACAGTGGGGCAAAAAAGTATTTAGTCAGCTGCCAATTGTGCAAGTTCTCCCATTTAAAAAGATGAGAGAGGCCTGTAATTGGCATCATAGGTAGACCTCAACTATGAGAGACAAAATGAGAAAAAAAATCAAGACAATCACATTGGCTGATTTGGAAAGAATTTATTTGCAAATTATGGTGGAAAATAAGTATTTGGTCAATATCAAAAGTTCATCTCAATACTTTGTTATATATCCTTTGTTGGCAATGACACAGGTCAAACGTTTCCTGTAAGTCTTCACAAGGTTGGCACACACTGTTGCTGGTATGTTGGCCCATTCCTCCATGCAGATCTCCTCTAGAGCAGTGATGTTTTGGGGCTGTTGCTGGGCAACACGGACTTTCAGCTCCCTCCAAAGGTTTTCTATGGGGTTGAGATCTGGAGACTGGCTAGGCCACTCCAGGACCTTGAAAAGCTTCTTACGAAGCCACTCCTTCATTGCCCGGGCGGTATGTTTGGGATCATTGTCATGTTGGAAGACACAGCCACGTTTCATCTTCAATGCCCTTGCTGATGGAAGGAGGTTTGCACTCAAAATCTCCCGATACATGGCCCCATTCATTCTGTCCTGTACATGGATCAGTCGTCCTGGTCCCTTTGCAGAGAAACAACCGCAAAGCATGATGTTGCCACCCCCATGCTTCACAGTAGATATGGTGTTCTTTGGATGCAACTGAGCATTCTCTCTCCTCCAAACATGACGAGTTGTGTTTCTACCAAACAGTTCTATTTTGGTTTCATCTGACCATATGACATTCTCCCAATCCTCTTCTGGATCATCCAAATGCTCTCTAGCAAGCTTCAGATGGGCCCGGACATGTACTGGCTTAAGCAGGTGGACACGTCTGGCACTGCAGGATCTGAGTCCCTGGCGGCGTAGTGTGTTACTGATGGAAGCCTTTGTTACGTTGGTACCAGCTCTCTGCAGGTCATTCACTAGGTCCCCCCGTGCGGTCCTAGGATTTTTGTTCACCTTTCTTGTGATCATTATGACCCCACGGAGTGAGATCTTGCGTGGAGCCCCAGATCGAGGGAGATTATCAGAGGTCTTGTATGTCTTCCATTTTCTAATTATTGTTCACACCAAGCTGCTTGCCTATTGCAGATTCAGTCTTCCCAGCCTGGTGCAGGTCTACAATTTTGTTTCTGGTGTCCTTCGACAGCTCTTTGGTCTTCACCATAGTGGAGTTTGGAGTGTGACTGTTTGAGGTTGTGGACAGGTGTCTTTCATACTGATAACAAGTTCAAACAGGTGCCATTGGTACAGGTAATGAGTGCAGGACAGAGGAGCCTCTTAAAGAAGAAGGTACAGGTCTATGAGAGCCAGAAATCTTGCTTGTTTGTAGGTGACCAAATACTTATTTTCCACCATAATTTGCAAATAAATTCTTTCCAAATCAGCCAATGTGATTGTCTGGACTTTTTTTTCTCATTTTGTCTCTCATAGTTGAGGTCTACCTATGATGCCAATTACAGGCCTCTCTCATCTTTTTAAGTGGGAGAACTTGCACAATTGTTGGCTGACTAAATACTTTTTTGCCCCACTGTAACTTTAAATGTGCATTGGTAGGAAAAAGGAGATGGGCCAGATTCCTTGTAGGTGGCAGCATAAACCCACACTTGTTATGAATCTGGATGTGTATTATTTTTCTTAAAGTGTATGTTCACGTTTGCAGTCATATATCTTACATGTTCCCATTCACATAGTATACATAAAATTAATTTTGGAAAAACTATGTATTTAAATATAAATACCCACACACTCACACTTTATAGCCAAAAGTATTGGTACACCCCTCCAACTCATTGGATTCAGGTGTTCCAATCACCTCCATGGCCACAGTACCTAGGCATGCAGACTGCTTCTTCTAACATTTGTGAAAGAATGGGTCGCTCTCGGGAGCTCAGTGAATTCAAGCGTGGTGCCGTGATAGGTTGCCACATGTGCGATAAGTCCATTTGTGAAACTTCTTTGCTACTAAATATTCCACGTTCAACTGTTAGTGGATGCAACTGGGAGCAACAGAAACTCAGCCACGAAGTGGTAGGCCACTTAAAATGACTGAGCAGGGTCAGGGCTGAAGCGCACAGTGTGCAGAAGTCGCCAACTGTCTGCAGAGTCTATACCAGCAATGGGCAAACTACGGCCCGTGGGCCATATACGGCCCGGCGGACCTTTTAATCCGGCCCGCGGAGCTAGGCTCCTCTCTCACAGTCCGCCCTGAAGACCGGTGTAGCATGAAAATCTGTCTCCTATGAGGATCTGTCCCCCTCGACGTATCTGCGCATGTGCCGGAGATCGCCGATCGGCTGCTAATGCCTGAAACTGGCACATGTGCAGATACGTCGAGGGGGACAGATCTTCATAGGAGACAGATTTTCATGCTACACCGGAACGGCGCGGGAACATGGCGAGAGGAACGCGCGGAGCAAAGGTAAGTGAATTGACACAGGGGGGACTTAATATGGGGGATGAATTAATATGGGGAATGAATTACTATAGGGGGGATGAATTACTATATGGGGGATGAATTACTATATGGGGGATGAATTACTATATGGGGGATGAATTATTATATGGGGGATGAATTACTATAGGGGGGGATGAATTACTATGGGGGGGATGAATTACTATAGGGGGGATGAATTACTATATGGGGGATGAATTACTATGCTTACTATGGGGGAATATTACTATACTTACTATGGATGACACATACACATCATTCATCTGCTCTTGGTCCGGCCCCCGGGTCCAATATATGAACCCATTGCGGCCCTCAAGTCAAAAAGTTTGCCCACCCCTGGCCTATACCCAAGGACCTCCAAACTTCGTGTGGCCTTCAGGTTAGCTCAACAGTGCATAGAGCGCTTTGTGGAGTGGGTTTCCATGGCTGAGCAGCTGCATCCAAGCCTTACATCACCAAGTGCATTGCAAAGCGGCGGATGCAGTGGTGTAAAGCATGCTGCCACTGGACTCTGGAGTGATGATTCATGCTTCTTTATCTGGCAATCGGATGGACATGTCTGGGTTTGGTGGTTGCCAGGAGAACGATACTTGCCTGACTGCATTGTGCAAAGTGTAAAGTTTGGTGGAGGGGGATTCTGAAGGGGGGTTGTTTTTCAGGGGTTGGGCTTGGCCTCTTAGTTCCAGTGAAAGGAACTCTTAAGGCGTCAGCATACCAAGACATTTTGGACAATTTCATGCTCCCAACTGTGTGGGAACAGTTTGGGGATGGCCCTTTCCTGTTCCAACATGACTGCGCACCAGTGCATAAAGCAAGGCCTATAAAGACATGGATGAGCGAGTTTGGGGTGGAGGAACTTGACTGGCCTGCACAGAGTCCTGACTTCAACCTGACAGAACACCTTTGGGATGAATTAGAGCGGAGACTGTGAGCCAGGCCTTCTCGTCCGACATCAGTGCCTGACCTCACAAATGCGCTTCTGGAAGAATAGTCAAACATTCCCATAGACACACTCCTAAACCTTGTGGACAGCCTTCCCAGAAGAGTTGAAGGTATTATAGTTGCAAAGGGTGGTCCAACTCAATATTGAACCCTACCGACTAAGACTGGTATGCCGTTAAAGTTCATGCAAGTGTAAAGGCAGGCGTCCCAATACTTTTGGCAATATATGTGTGTGTGGGTGTGTGTATATGTATGTATATATGTGTGTGTATATATCTATATATATATATTATATTTATTTAAACTTTCTAGGAGTTTCATTGGAACAGACCTCGAGCACATTGCAAGCTACTATGAACAATTTGAAATGAGAGGAAACTCAGTCTGTCCCCTCTGACACAGAGTTTCTTGTACAAAGTAGAAGCCCAGCTTCTGGATATTTAAAGTGGCTATAATTAAGCTTAAATCTGTCTCCCCTCCCTCCAAATCCTATTGTAACTGCCCTGTAGAAGAAAGATGGTTATACTTTAGGGCGCTTCAGACCATCACATGATCGGCTCACAACGGCGGCTTCAGCGGAGAGGAAGGACTGCCAGCAATGGATGTCTCATAGTAAGACATAGGTGACATCATGCCTCATGGGTGACATCACTGGCCAGGCATTGCAGCTGTTGTCGCTGCTCCCTCCTCTCCCCTAAAGCTGGTCGCTGGGGAGATCACGTGACCAGACCGGAGTGCCCTGAGAATTGGCAAGTATGCATCTTCCTTCTATAGGGTAGTTACAGATAGCATTAATTATCATTAAAACATTACTTCCACAATCCCCCTCTGCATAACAGAGAAAAACTTCAGTTTCAGTTCAGAAAAAAACAAGTATATTTTTTGTATGTTGCAGTGTTATTTAAGTTGTATTATCTGAGTGAGAGCGAATGGAAAGTCAAATTTGACTGCTAAAGTAGAAATACACTTTAGTCATTCATTGAGAGACACAGCCACATTTATTGGACGTGTGGGTTTATGCTGCCACCTACACTTCTGATGAGTCTGACTGTTTCTCAACTTAGAATAAAGAATTTTACGTTGAGTGCAAAAACTTATTTTTCTTTTATTATTTTGAATCTACTTTCTAAGGCATTCTAGTAAATAAATATGTTTTTTGATCTAAAACCATTACATAGCACAGTATAAAGCACTATTAAATGTATATTCTTCTGTGTGAAGTATGTGAGAAAAGTAACACTTATGATATATTTATAGCATGTAAGATGAACACCTTTTGGGTAGTGTACGCCGGAACATTAACCCTTTTTTTTTTTTTTTTTTTTTACCAGTCTACACCCTTACATTTGGCAGCGGGATACAACAGAGTCCGGATTGTACAACTCCTTCTTCAGCATGGTGCTGATGTTCATGCAAAAGACAAAGGGTAAGTAAATGAAAATTATCCTCATTTTTTTTTTTCCAAGGACAGGACCGCTCAAAATTTGTCTCTTGATTAAAGTCTCTTTAATTCTTAAACCATTAGATATAACAACTGCCCTCAGTTGATTGGACAGTGGTAAAACAAAGCTTTAAGGACAACAATTATATTCTCCCTTGCACTCTTAACAAGCCTCAGCTTTTCGCTAATGTCCTGAATGACCATCTTGACCTTCTGAATGACCTTCTGAGAAAAGAGATCCTTTTTTTTTTTTTTTTTTTTTTGGTTTGAATTTTTCTCAAGATGATTCTGATATCAAGTTTTCTGGCTGCTACATAGCCACTGCAACTTCCAGATGGATTGACTCCTCGTTGCCTAAGTGGGGGACCGGATCCTGCCTGGAAGAATATTTGGGGCTGGTCTGTAATGTTGCTTTGTGCATTAGATGCTGCGTAGAAGCACTTACTTTGGCACCTGGTACAATGCAGTAAATTAGCCATGTGGTGCTATAAAAGTCCAGGGCTGTGGCATTTCCAGTATGTTGTGACCCTGTAGACCCATTAAGGGTATGCCCACCAGGGGGGCAAAGATCTAGATGGTGATTTGTCCCCCCTCCCACCAAAAAATTCCTCCTGCTTGGCTGCAGAACACTGGTTTGATTAGTGAGTGCTGTGCCCTGTTTTCACCACAGAATGCTCAGCTGCAATTCCCAAGGAGTTGACTGATGGAGCAACAGGAACAGATTTGTTGCACCACATTTTGAATTTGGTGCATTTTATTTTCAGATGTGAGACCAGTATGAAGAGCACTACTGCAATTGTGTTGGTCTTCATTTTGATTTGACCATTTGATCTCAACTGAGATGTCATCTATAGGAAACGATGCAATCTGAAAATCCATTCATACATTCAAATAAACTGGCAAAAAGTAAACCGCTTGTGGATAGGTCATGTGATCCCCCAGCCCTTCCTTTGCAACTCCATGTGAGGTCGGTTTTACGTGAATGAATAAAAGCTGATCATTGTAGGCACCTGGGTCATCTTAACCCTTAGGTGTACAGCTTGGTCTGTTAAAAGAAGTTCTAAACTAAATGACTTGCTGGCTAGTTCACAAGGTGAAAATAGAGGGAAAAATGTATTAAAAGAAAACTAATGCAGCTAAGGATTGGATATCCAATGTTAAGAATATGTCTGCAAGGAAGAATTGATGAGTGGCAGGAAGGCAAAAGGAAAGAAACCTCTACCACCAGATAAAAGTGTATTTTGACTCTATTGCGAAAGCAAGAGGTCCATCATATCTGGTGAGTGTGGTCACTAAGGGGGTCACCATAAGAAGAGCACCTTTCAAGAGCACGTTTAAAGAGCACCTATTACTTTATCAATCTTTTTGAGCACAGAGCACTTTAAGAAGAATTTTCATGTATATTATGAATTGAAAGTCTTTATTTGAAGGTTCACTTGGACATTTGGAAGGGCACTGTAGATTGTCACTGCTGAGCGCTGTATAAAAATATATTTGTTTAGTATCAGTGTTATTCACTTGAACAGCTGCACCAGTAATTATTATTCTCTTGTTGTTTTGGTTGTGTAGAGTCATAGCGCGGTTCACATTTTCTGTTTATTTTTGGTCACACGTTGATAGAACCTAGCAGCTATGGAAGTGTTCAATTTTATTAAGGATAAATGTATCACTGTAGATTACATTTTTTCACAGGGTGTTGACCACACTGATATGAATCAGGATTTCAAACAACTAAAAAGCATACTAGATAAGCAAGTGAGATGTGCTAACATTGTAAAGTACATTAGAGATGGCATCACACCTAGAAGGTTAAGGTGGGATGTGGCCCCTAATGATCAGTAAAGCGTGAGGATGAATGGTTTCCTTTTTTTTATCACACTGAGTGAAAATTCTTGAAACTAATAGTGTCTAGAAGGAAAAAGAAATTCATGTTTGTTAGAGGAGAAAATCAATGTATTGGAACACAAACTGGCCCCTCAGGTGGAAACTAAAGAGTATAAGGAAAAAATTAAACATCTGCAGGAGTTTCTTGATAAATTAGGTAAGAACACACAAAAGAAAAAAAAATGAAAAAATACAACAGGGACAGTAATGACTATAAAAATAACATTGTTTATTAATGGTAGGAAGAGAGTGAGGAAGGAGTGGTGGAATCTAGAGCTTCCACAGAGGTAAGAGAAACTTGAGACATCACAGTAGCCAATACTCCTGAGCCTCCCTGTGTGAGTAACACTAGGGGGAAAATAATACCCCAAAATAAAAATGGAGGGGAGGAAGAAAGAATATAGGAATATTACACATGGACCACATATGAGGCCAGATGAAAGCGGAAACCAGGGGTCCCTGCCAGTGCATAATCATTTCTACCCTTTGAGAGATGGGAACACATATACCCCAAATAGAGGATACAACTCAAATAGTAGGAGTTTCAAAGAAGGGGAAATGGAGGGCCCCATGGAGAGGCAGGTTTGCTATGCCAGCAGACAGAAGAGAAGGGGATTAGACGCTCTAGTACCCTACATAACACACACAGGGGAATGGAAAAGAAATAAAGAAGAAGAGGATGTAGAGAAGGGTGAGCAAAAATGAAGAGAGGCTGAGATCTCATCTACAGTGAGACCAGTATGAAGAGCACTACTGCAATTGTGTTGGTCTTCATTTTGATTTGACCATTTGATCTCAGCTGAGATGTCATCTACAGGAAATGATGCCATCTGAAAATCCATTCAAACATTCAAATAAACTGGCAAAAAAGTAAAACTCTTGTGGATAAGTCATGTAATCCTCCATGTGAGATCGGTTTTACTTGAATTTATAAAAGCTGATAATTATTGGCACCCGGTTCGTCTTAATCCTTAGCTGGACAGCTTGGTCTGTTAAAAGAAGTTGAAAACTAAAAGATCTGCTGGCTGGATCACAAGGTTAAAATAGAGGGAAAAGGTGTATTAAAAGAAAACTAATGCAGCTAAGGATTGGATATCCAATGTTAAGAATATGGCTGGATGGAAAAATGGAAAAAAATGGAAAAGCAGCAGGAAGGCAAAAGGAAAAACATCCACCACCAGTCAAAGCATATTTTGACTCTATTGCAAAAGCTGGTGAATTTTCAAGAGCGCTTTTTAAGGAGCACCTGTCACTTAAATTTCATATTAAAGCAACCCAGTCAGACCTTGCCTCCCTTCTCCCAAGAGATTTTCTGGGTGTGGATATAAGATGTATCTGTTTACACATTCCTATCTTTTTGATGCATCACCATTATATGTATTTTGCTGTGGGCACACATCACTACCAATTTTTTGCCCATCCATTTGGTTTAGCTACTGCACCGTGGGTCCTCTCCTGTCCTAGCCTTTTCTGCTCTCAGGGTTTCTCATTGTGGGATATCGTGACAACTTGCCACAGTCTGCCCATGCCGAGCAGTCAGTGCAGACTTTTAAGGAATTTGGATGGATCCTCAACCTTCAGAAGTCAACACTGGAGCTAACATAACATCTGAAATGCGGTCTTGTTGGCATTGTTTGCTGTTTTGTCCACCCCTCAGTCAGACTGCTTTTGGTCATCCCAACAGGCTAAGAATTAAAGGAGCCCATGTCATGTAGTGTACGATTAAGAAAACAGGATTTTTATTGTACGTGTTTGGTTTTTTTGGAGTACTTCACAAGACACGTGCCTCCCCTCTGTACCCTTGTTCCATCCCTAATACTGCTTGCTAACAAAATTAAGGCTTGTTGGGAGACGGAAAAATAATATAGGTCCTTATGCCTTTGTTTTGCCATTGTCCAATAATCCAAAGGCAGCAGCTGCATTGCCCAAGAGTGCTATAAATTAACCACTTGAATGCCAACCGGTAATACCTCTTTATTACCAGGTCATTTCTCAGTGTTCAGAGCTGTGATAGTTTGGCTGATGATTACTCCATCATGCAGCACTGTATCCAAATGAATTTAATTTTCTTTTTTTGGAGGGATCTTTTGGTGCAGGGATGTGCACTTTATATTGCTCGACGCCTGGGGCATGTAGTTCTGGGTGCCAGGCAGGTAGTTTTTTTTTGGTTTTTTTTTAGCTTTTACACTGGATATAAAAAGTCTACACATCCCTGTTAAAATGTCAGGTTTCTGTGATGTAAAAAATGAGACAAAGAGAAATCATTTCAGAACCTTTTCCACCATAAATGTAACCAATAAACTGTACAACTCAGTTGAACAACAAACTGAAATCTTTTAAGTGGAGGGAAGTAAAAATAAAAAACTAAAATATGGTTGCATAAGTGTGCACACCCTTAAACTAATACTTTGTTGAAGCACCTTTTGATTTTATTACAGCACTCAGTCTTTTTGGGTATGAGTCTATCAGCATGGCACATCTTGACTTGGCAATATTCAAGAAATCAAGGGCAGTAATTCTGACACTAAGCCTCCTCTGTAAATCCAAAATGGTAGCTTGTAAAGTCTTTTAAAACGTTGCCTATGGATATTAAAAAACATATGCAGTTTGTCGCCATTGCACGGGGCATGTGCAGTTTTAAAGCATGTCATGTTTGGTATCTCTTTACATGGCATACCATCATCTTTTATATGTTACCAAATAATTGGCCAATATATTGTTAATAAAGTTGTGTTTTTTTCTCCTCAAAATTGCATTTGAAAAATCGCTGCGCGAATACTATGTGACATAAAAAATTGCAGCACCCCCCATTTACATAAAATTGTCACTTAAATGATTTATTGCTCACACATGCCATGGGTATATTTGGAATGACTCCCCAAAATACATTCTGCTACTTTGCCCAAGTATGGGGGTACCACATGCGAGAAACATTTTGGCAGTCTAGGCAAGTACAGGACCCCAAAATCCAAAAAGCACCTTTAGGCTTTTAAAGGGCTTTATTTCCTCATTACACTTCCTGGCTACCTATCACAGTGTCGGAGGCCCTTAAATGCCAGGATAGCACCAAACCCCCCCAAATGACCCCTTTTTGGAAAGTAGACACCCCAAGGAATTTAAAAAGAGGCATGGTGAGTATTTTGCAGATCTCATTTTTTCTCACAAGGTTTTGAAATATAAAAAAAGAAAAGAAAAAATGTTTTTGTTTTTTTTTTCTTTATTTTCCAAAAACTTGGCAAAAATGAGATTTGCTAAATACTCAACATACTTCTTATGTTGAGTATTTAGCAAATCTCATTTGTTGCCACAAGTTTTTGGAAAATAAAGAAAAAAAAACAAAAACATATTTTTTCTTTTCTTTTTTTATATTTCAAAACCTTGTGAGAAAAAATGAGATCTGCAAAATACTCACCATGCCTCTTTTTAAATTCCTTGGGGTGTCTACTTTCCAAAAAGGGGTAATTTGGGGGGGGGGTTGGTGCTATCCTGGCATTTCAGGGCCTTCAAACCTGTAATAGGCAGTGAGGAAGTGAAATGAGGACGTTGCGCACCTTCAGGCTTTCAAAGTGGTCATTGGATTTCAGGCTCCTGTATGTGGCTAGGCTCCAAAAAAGTCTCACATGTGGTATCCCCATACTCGGATATATGTGGAATTACACCCCAAAATACATTCTGCTGCTTCTACCATGACTTGTGTGGGAAATTATCATTTAAATGACAACTTTGTGTAAAAAATAAATAAATAAAATGTTTGTCATTTTTCAGAAACTTTTGGAAAAAAAATAAATCTTTCCATGGACTCACTATGCCTCTCAGCAGATAGCTTAGGGTGTCTACTTTCCGAAAAGGGGCCATTTGGGGGTGTTTGTACTATCTTGGAATTTTAGCACCTCAAGAAATATGATGGGCAATCAGAAAGTAAAAGCTGTGTACATTCTATTATCTATACCTAGTCTGTAGATGCTATAACTTTCACACAAAGCAATAAATATACACTTATTGGGATTTTTTTAACCAAAAACATGTAGCAAAATACATTTTGGCCTAAATTTATGACGAAATTTTTGTTTTTTTGGATACTTTTTATGACAGAAATGAGAAAATGTTTTCTTCAAATAAAATTTTTTTTCCTCAAAAACTTTTTTTGTTTATAGCGCCAAAAAAAAAGCGCATAGGTGACCAAATACCACCAAAAGAAAGCTCTATTTGTGTGAAAAAAGGACATAAATTTCATTTGTGTACCGTATTGCATGACCGTGCAATTGTCAGTTAAACTAGTGCAGTGCTGTATAGCAAAAAAAGGCGTAAATTGCAGTAGCTATACCATAATTTGTAGATGCTATAACTTTCACACAAAGCAATCAATATATACTTATTTCAATGTTTTTTTTACCAAAAACATGTAGCAGAATACATTTTGGCCTAAATTTATAACTAACTTTGAGTTTACTATATATTTTTTTATAGCCAAAAGTAAAAAATATCGTTTTTCTTCAAAATTTTTGGTCTTTTATTGTTTATAACGCGAAAAATAAAAAAACTCACAGGTGATCAAATACCACCGAAAGAAAGCTCTATTTGTGTGGAAAAAAAGGACATAAATTTTGTTTGGGTGCAGCATTGCATAACGGTTCAATTATCAGTTGAATTAGTGCAGTGCTGAGTAGCAAAAAGAGGCCTGGTCATTAAGGGGGTAAATTCTTTGGAGGGCAAGTGGTTAATATAGAAATGCCATCAATGTTCATGCCAACTGGCTAGGCATTTCATTTCCAGATATGTCGTCACCATCGGCATTAGACATACCCAACAGCTGCTGAACTTGTATAACCTCACAAGCAATGTGGGCATGTGACATGGATGAGTTTCAAAGAAAAAAGGTAGAAAGAAACATCAATTACACATTTTAAACACATCAGTGTTGTTATATGGTGTAACTCAGTGTTTTTCAACCTTTTTACAGTCAAGGCACCCTTTAAAATTATGGACAGTCTCAAAGCACCCCATTCTAAAATGTAAAAAACTATTTAAATCGTTTTACCTAATACAGCAACATCCACACATGTAGGACACCCAATGTTAGAGGGGATTTATTCTTCCAAACAAATACATTTGCACATGAATACTGATGAGTATTCCAGTGCTTCTCTTCTCCTGCAGTTTCTCTGTATTACTCAGCTAATGTGACCCCATTAATGACAGAGAGGGGCAGAGGAGGGTCAAACAACGATGCCGTGCAGGCGACTGACATCCTCCGTATCAACTGATAGCGTCATTGGTTGTTAGTATGCTGGCAGCTGGAACGCTGTAATGGTGCATAATGAAAACTTATGGCTTTGTGTAACTAAAAGGCAGGCTTGATCCACCTGCTGGCTTGTATGCAATTTTTGGGCATTTTGCCAAGGCACTCCTGAAGAATCTTCAGGGGACCCTGGTTGAAAAAGGCTGGTGTAACTTATTGCAGGGAGTTAATTTGATAGGTTTAAAGTGGAAGGAAAGGTTTGCTATTTCCACTTTAAATCATATGATTATTGTAAGCAGTTTACAAAAAGCCTGCTGTGCAAAGACATGAATGAAGTCACTTACCATTCCACTGCAGCCTCACTGTCCCTGAAATTACTGCAACCTGTATGCTGTGTGAAGTGTGTGTGTATGTGTGTATGTGTGTATATATATATATATATATATATATATATATATATATATATATATATTTATCTATATATATTTATATATATATTTATCTCTCTCTCTAATTCATCCCAAAGGTGTTCTATAGGGTTGAGGTCAGGACTCTGTGCAGGCCAGTCAAGTTCCTCCACCCCAAACTTGCTCATCCGTGTCTTTATGGACCGTGCTTTGTACACTGATGCGCAGTCATGTTGGAACAGGAAGAGGTCATCCCCAAACTGTTCCCACACAGTTGGGAGCATGAAATTGTCCAAAATGTCAATAAAACCCGGAAGCTCATTGGTTTCTATGCAGAGATGTGCCACATTTTTCATTATCCAGATTTAGTAAACCTCTCACTGTGTTTTCATTGCTGTCTTTATCCTTGTTTGAGATTTTTACTCACTTTCTGCCCCAGAGATATTATTCTATTCTCTAACTCTAGCTATTCACTATCCAAAGAAAGAAAATTGTCTGAAATATACACTATATTGGCAAAAGTATTTGGGACACCTGCCTTTACACACACAGGAACTTTAATGGCATTGCAGTCTTAGTTCGTAGGTTTCAATATTGAGTTGGCCCACCCTTTGCAGCTATAACAGCTTCAACTCTTCTGGGAAGGCTGTCCACAAGATTTAGGAGTGTGTCTATAGTAATGTTTGACCATACTTCCAGAAGAGCATTTGTGAGGTCAGGCACTGATGTCGGACGAGAAGGCCTGGTTCTCAGTCTCCGCTCTAATTCATCCCAAAGGTGTTCCATTGGGTTGAGGTCAGGACTCTGTGCAGGCAAGTCAAGTTCCCACCCCAAACTTGCTCATCCATGTCTTTATAGACCTTGCTTTGTGCACTGGTGCGTAGTCATGTTGGAACAGGATGGGGCCATCCCCAAACTGTTCCCACAAAGTTGGGAGCAGGAAATTGTCCAAAATGTCTTGGTATGCCTTAAGAGTTCCCTTCACTGGAACTAAGGGGCCAAGCCCAACCCCTGAAAAACATCCCCACACCATAATCCCCCCTGCACCAAACTTTACACTTGGCACAGTGCAGTCAGGCAAGTACCGTTCTCCTGGCAACCGCCAAACCCAGACATGACAAATCAGGCTTCATTGTCTGGCACTCTGATGGAGATTTCAGAGAACACATCTCCACACAGGTAAGTGTCTTTATTAAAAGTCAGCAGCTACAGTATTTGTTGCTGCTGAGTTTTATTTTTTATTTTTTTTTTTTTTAAACAGACTGAAGATTCTCTTCAAGCTTTACTACCTTTATTGCACTGAAAACTATCATTACGTTGAATTAAAAAGCCCACATAAAAATTTAAATTTAAATTTTTTGGGAGTGTCTACATTTGAAGAATAAATTACAAGACAATAGCAATAGGGGGCCTTAATCAAGCAGATTTGAGATACAGTAAGATGCAGTCATGCTGCGTCTCCTTTACCAAAGTCAAAATTTTGACCCCTGTTCCTGTAATCCCAGGCAACCAACCAAGATAGATTTGCAAAGGTCTGCAGCAGATTTTTAACTGAAGATGAGACTGATGTGTTCTGTAAAGAGATGCAAAATGAAGAAGTAGCCGGGTCAGATGTCATTCTGTTGTAGTGCTATGTTAGAGCAGTTCTGAAAGGAATTTATGAATCAATTTGTAACCTTTTTAGTAAATCTGTCACAAAATCTGTCTTGCAGCTCTTGTTTAGCAAGGTCTTGCTGTGCAACAGAACTGAATAATGCTCCCCTCTCCTTTTCTAATATTGTGTGCAAGCAGTACAATTTGAATACATTTTATTAGCATATGTTAGACAATATATGAATAGCTTTTTTTTTTTCTTTGTTTGCATCTAGTGGACTGGTGCCTCTACATAATGCTTGCTCCTATGGACACTTTGAAGTAACTGAGCTGCTTCTCAAGGTAAAAATGTGTATATTTTTAAGTATTGTATATTTTCCTAAGTTCCCTTATATTTTTCATTTAATATAAGCATTTTAGCATACTGCCCGTTAAATAATTTCACTGTCATTGGTTAATTATTTTAAAAGTGTGTTTCTTACCTGCTTGTTTGAATTTGTTACATCTATATTTTTTTCAAGTACATTTATAAGTTTGTTAAATAATTATGCTAACTGTAATGCATCCTACAAGCAGAATATTATGTATTCTCACAAATTTCTACTTGTTTTCAGCATGGCGCTTGTGTTAATGCCATGGATCTTTGGCAATTTACACCACTACATGAGGCTGCATCAAAAAATCGTGTTGAAGTCTGTTCCTTGCTGCTGAGCCATGGAGCGGACCCAACACTTGTCAACTGCCATGGAAAAAGTGCTGTGGATATGGCTCCTACTCCAGAGTTGAAGGAGAGATTAACTTGTAAGCATAACAGTGACCAGCAGTTCATAGAAAAAATATAATTTGTATATTAGGTTTTGCTTGTATGAGGACAGAGAAAAAGAGAAAAATGATATCCTCATAGGATAATTACTGTTTCTCACAGGAGTACACCCCTCACATTTTTGTAAATATTCTATTATATCTTTTCTTGTGACAACACTGAAGAAATGACACTTTGCTACAATGTAAAGTAGTGAGTGTACAACTTGTATAACAGTGTCAATTTGCTGTCCCCTCAAAATAGCTCAACACACAACCATTAATGCCTAAACCGCTGGCAACAAGACTGAGTATACCCCTAAGTGAAAATGTCCAAATTGGGCCCAAAGTGTCAATATTTTGTGTGGCCACCATTATTTTCCAGCACTGCCTTAACCCTCATGGGCATGGAGTTCACCAGAGCTTCACAGGTTGCCACTGGAGTCCTCTTCCACTCCTCAGTGATGACCTCACGGAGCTGGTGGATGTTAAAGACCTTGCGCTCCTCCACCTTCCTTTTGAGGATGCCCCACAGATGCTCAATAGGGTTTAGGTCTGGAGACATGCTTGGTCAGTCCATCGCCTTTACCCTCAGCTTCTTTAGCAAGGCAGTGGTCGTCTTGGAGGTGTGTTTGGGTTCATTATGTTGGAATACTGCCCTGCGGCCCAGTCTCCGAAGGGAGGAGATCATGTTCTGCTTCAGTATATCACAGTACATGTTGGCATTCATGGTTCCCTCAATGATCTGTAGCTCCCCAGTGCTGGCAGCACTCATGCAGCCCCAGACCAGGACACTCCCACCACATGCTTGACTGTAGGCAAGACAAACTTGTCTTTGTACTCCTCACCTGGTTGCCGCCACACACGCTTGACACCATCTGTACCAAATACGTTTATCTTGGTGTCATCAGACCACAGGACATGGTTCCAGTAATTCATGTCCTTAGTCTGCTTGTCTTCAGCAAACTGCGGGCTTTCTTGTGCATCATCTTTAGAAGAGGCTTCCTTCTGGGATGACAGCCATGCAGACCAATTTGATGCAGTGTGCGGCGTATGGTCTGAGTACTGACAGGCTGACCCCCCCCACCCCTTCAGCCTCTGCAGTAATGCTGGCAGCACTCATACGTCTATTTCCAAAAGACAACCTCTGGCTATGACGTTGAGCATGTGCACTCAACTTCTTTGTTTGATTATGGCGAGGCCTGTTCTGAGTGGAACCTGTCCTTTTTAAACCGCTGTAAGGTCTTGGCCACCGTGCTGCAGCTCAGTGTCAGGGTCTTGGCAATCTTCTTATAGCCTAGGGCATCTTTATGTAGAGCAACAATTCTTTCTTTCAGATCCTCAGAGAGTTCTTTGCCATGAGGTGCCATGTTGAACTTCCAGTGACCAGTATGAGAGAGTGAGAGCGATCACACCAAATTTAACACACCTGTGCCCTATTCACAACTGAGACTTTGTTACACTAATGAGTCACATGACACCGGGGAGGGAAAATGGCTAATTGGGCCCAATTTGGACATTTTCACTTAGGGGTGTAATCACTTTTGTTACCCATGGTTTAGACATTAATGGCTGTGTGTTGAGTCATTTTGAGAGGACAACAAATTTACACTGTTATACAAGCTGTACACTCACTACGTAACATTGTAACAAAGTGTCATTTCTTCAGTGTTGTCACATGAAAGATATAATAAATATATAGGGGGAGAGTGCACTTCTGCTCAGATGATCTGAGAGGATGTAGGAGTGGGCAACTGTCAGAAATAGATACCTGCTCCCAGAAAAAAAAAGCATGCCAAAGTGGTAGAGGAGGGGGGTCAAGAAGAGGTAAAGCAGAACTTCCCTTTTTGGGTGAAATTTCTCTTTAAGCAAAAATATCAAGGCAACCTGTCAACAACATTTTATATAATCTTCTTTTATATGCTTATTATTATTTGACAATAATTGTGGTGTGTTGCCTTGATCGATTAATCTTACTTTCAAAAACAAGCTGAAAGCAGTCAGTGTGATGCTTCTTCCACAACTTGAGAAATGGTGACAGTTTTTTTTGTGTATTAACTATTTTTTGTGTTATTTCACTTTATTTGTATTTTTATTATCTGCAAAACTGTACTCGTGGTCCATTAATAAATCATACCATTATCTTTGTTTGAATTTCAGATGAATTCAAAGGGCATTCTTTGCTGCAAGCAGCCAGAGAGGCAGACCTGGCAAAAGTGAAAAAAACACTAGCTTTGGAGATCATTAATTTTAAACAACCGCAGTCTCATGAGACAGCATTGGTAATAAAATAAGGCTTGGTCCCTCTTCTTTGGAAAAATTATGGAATAATTTACATTTCCCCTACATGAAAATTATTTTTCAAAATTTTGTGTAGCTTTCCCCAGGACATGTTTGCAAAATACTGCGGTTATATTTTTAGTATATTAAATAATTCTAGCCGATTATTTTTTTTATCTTTGTGTGTTGGGTTAACATTTGTAATATGCAGTGGAAACTTAATATAACACCTTAAAAAAGATTTAGATCTTAGACGGGCAACAAATCTATCCCTTTTAGTTATATACAAATTTTATTTGTGGAAATTTTTAAAAGTTTACTTTAAAGTGTAAGTTCACCTTCAGCACTAACAATCTAATTCCATCATAAATCATGCCTAACATTGATATCAATTTTAATGTGCAAAATATTTTTTTGAAAAAATTTACTCACCCATGTTCTAGATATCTCATTTTTGTGAGTAATTTTAAAAATGCACTCAAAGCTTCTCTTCCTGCTTCCTTCTGGCAGTGCCATCTGGCATTGTAGTTCACTAAGCTAATAAGAAACTATAAGTCCCATGAATCATTGTCTTTGTGCTTGTATAGAAGGGGTTGGCAGACGAACTAACATTTCACTATGCTCAGCTTTCTCCTTCCCCTGTGAGCGCCACACTGCTGAGACTGGGAGAGGAAGAAGCTGGAGAGATGCAGATATTCTGTTAGTCTCTGAGTTGCAAGAAATATAAGACAAACTGCAAAGTCCCAGTATATGCACATGTCCGTATATACTATATATAAAAACAATTTCTTATTTCTCCTTATACCTCTCTCTATCGCTCCGTCTCTGTGCCTCTTTTTCCTCCTCCTCTCTCTATTACTCAACCCCCCCACCCCTTCATACACACCTCTCTCCATTTATCTCTTATTTATAGCAACATGCATTATAATAAAAAGTATACAAATTCCATGCATTTAGGCACTACATATGTGAAATATCATCTATACATAAATTGTGCAGCGTTATGGGTGAGACTAGACAAAACGATTTCCTTTTCAATTAGTATGTGGAAAAAGATAACACACACACACACACACACACACACACACACACTATAATCAGTAAACAACTTCCCAATAATCCTCCAAAAGTGATTAGTGAAAGAAAAGAAAATTAAAATCCAGTGTTTAGTAATGCTGATATATCCAGAAAAAAATCCCTCTTCAACACATCACATACCGCAACAACAAGCATATGCGATCACCCTTCCAGAGACCTCCACGTTATAAGAGGTCTGAGCAGCGCCTCTTATATCAGCATTGCTATACACTGGGTTTTAATTTTTTTTTTTTTTTTTTTTAACAACTTTTGGAAGATTATTGGAAAATTGTTTACTGTATACATCGTGTGTATTATTTTTTTCCACATACTAACTGAAAAGTTAAAAAGTTACTTTTTGGGTAGCCCCACCCATAACTCTGCACAATTTATGTTTTAGATGATATTTCACATATGTATTCGTTCAGTCTCCCTGACAACACAATACCTCAGCGGGGACATCGCTGTGGTAACAGGGCATAATTAGTACAGAGACCTCCCTGCACGCCCCTCATAGTGTGTACCAGGCATTAGGAAATGCTAAGTCAATTCCCACTAACATACAATGCAAGAAGCCCATCTTCTAAATCTTTAACCTTTTGTAGTTCAAAGCTCTTGACACTCCTCATCCATAATATGTATTTTATGGTGGCTTTTCACATATGAACACTCTGGTGCCTATAGCTTGATGCCTGATGCTCCAAAAGCTACATGAGCTACTTGAGCTAGAATTGGGCATTTTTGAATGTAAACGCCTAAAAACACTTGAATCAAATGTTTTTGCATCTATATCCATGCATTTTTTTTTTTTGGCTTCCAAAAAACTGGTCTCCTCTTTCTAGTACTTGGCTAAAACAAAACACCTGAAGCTTGAATGCCCATGTAAAATGCCTGAAATGCAACTCTAAAATGCTTGTATACAAGCGTAAAAATACTAAAAAAAAAAGACTGAAATTCGCTCTGCCCAGGTGAGAATGCAGCCCTAGGGCTTGTGCACACCATGTGCAGTAACCTGCGGTTTTCCGCAGTGGATAAATGCAGATCACCGTTATAGCACATAGAAAAAAATATTTTCCATCGCTTTTTTCCATAGCACACAGAATGGGCCTGCATGTCATCCTATAGCGGCACACTGCATCATGACACGAATGAAGTGTTTCTGCGTGACACCCCAGGTGATGGGAAAAAGAAAAAAGCACTGCGATGCACTGAAACCTGCATCACACTTATCCCTGGTGAAGATGACTTTCACAGCTGTCCATGTGCGGCCCAGTGTGAACCTAGCCTTAAAGAATAAGTTCACCTTTGGAACATGTTACATGTTCACCCATTTTTAGGGTGGAACATGTAACATGTTCCCATAGCTGCAGCTGCGTCTCTCCCCCCCCCCCCCCCCCCCCCCGACAGATAGTATGAGAAGAAGGTTCCCCATACTTTCTGTCAGATTTGAAAACAGCGCGGCTGTGCAGGGCACCTTCCGCACGGCCGCGTCACTCATTCACAGAGTTCTGTGAATTAATGCCTACAAGTCCCGACTGCCTTAGCGGCTGTTGGCTTGTAGTTTTCAGTGAACGACCACAGTGCTGTGTGCTGTACAGCAAGCAGATATTCTGACAGGTCTGCAGGAGACCTGCATGGCATCAGCGATCTACTGATCGCTTGTGCAATGCTTTCCAGGCTCCTTTGGACAAAAATAATAAATGCACATTTTTTTTTTTACCTGCAAAAAAAAGTGCATTTATTATTTTTGTACAAAAGGTGAACTTATCCTTAAACCTCAGCTACAAAGTAAGCTCAGTGTTCATTTGTGTGTTCTCTTTTGCAGTTATGTAAACAACTGGCAGTGTGGTCTCTTTGCATTGATTGCATGAAAAACACCAATGTATTAAATAGTGTTGTCCAGACCAAGATAGTTACATCCATTCCCAGCTTTGTTTCTATAAGTGAATGGACATTGAGCATTACAGGGGATTGTGCAGATATGTTTATCCTGAATTACATTGTCTGTCCTTGTTCACTTGCTGTATTTTGACTGAAAAATCCAGATAAAAACACTACTTGATCATGTACACACTGTGTATTTGAGCTGTGTATGTGTCTGGAAAAAGCGAACACCTTCATTATTTATGTTCCGCCACTATTCATTATATGGCCATAAAATTTGGCGTTTCCAAAAAATATATATTTCTGTAAACAGGCCTTTTTTTGAAGACATTTTTTTATTTTTTTTTTAACTCTGGAAAATACAGTTTAGTTGTGCTGTTGATGTTTGATCATTTGTAGAGTTACCCACGGTTTATGTACATCATATAACGCACAAAACAGTTTATCGAATTTTTTGTTTTTCGCTGTGTACCGTGTTCTTCTCTAAATCATTTTCTCCTAATCCATAAATATTTTATCATTTAACATATCTATATGTGCTGAATGGCAATATTTTAAAAGATATTTGTCTTATTAAATGGAAAACACCTTTTTAGCATTTTCTTTCCTCCTATGATCTGTTCTTTTCACTATCTAGTAGAAAGTTTGAGTTTCTGGAGGCAGTGTTTGGGTTCAGCCTAGTGTACAAAAAAAAACAATTTATTCTCTGACTTCTTGCTTGCAGAGATGACACGGGCATTGCTCATCCTTGGCACTTCCGTTATAAAATCAAACTAGTTTTCAGAGGAGCATAATGTACAATTGATCACTGTTGCGTTTTTTGCTCAGTATGTTGTTTATCTGATCCAGACTTTTGATAAATTACTGAAGGTTTCCATCTCTGTACTTTATAGAAAGTCCTCCTTAGGTATGTGCGTGTGTGTGTATATGTGTGTATATATATTTTTCTATATAAATAGATATTTTTTTCTTTTTGCATAACTCACATTAAATACATTTTGCAGCACTGCGCGGTGGCTTCGTTACATCCCAAAAGAAAGCAGATAACAGAGTTGTTGCTTCGGAAAGGAGCCAGTGTTAATGAGAAAAACAAAGAGTACGTTTTCTGTTTGTGTTACATGATTCATAGCACTGTGAATGTTAGATTGTTCCAAGCCTTTGCTAGTTTTTGTCTTAAATCATGTCAGTAAAGCCTGGATTCTTGCAAAATCTAGTATAGGTTTTAATTGTTAATCAAGAGTATCTTTTTCATTACCTTTGCTGGAACTTCATCCTAAAACTTTAATGAAATGTCATGTTTCATCTGCAAATTTGACCAGCGAACTGAAATGGAACTTCAGTTTCCTGAAATATAAATATTTTACACTTGAATTCATGTAGTTTGAAGCTGATCTCTAGGCACATATATATAAAAAAAATTAATGCTGTTAAAGTAGTACTATAGGCAAAAAGATTTTTTTTTGAGATAGAATGAGGGAGCGTGTTAACCCCTGTAAGGTTTATTAATGCCATGTGTGCCCCATTGGGGAGATTTCCCTTCAATTCCTGACCCATAGGCAAAACAGGAAGTGAAAGGAAAGCCCTCTAAAGTGAGGGAAGCCCTGGTTGTCACCAGAACTAGTGTCCCTATTGGAAGATATTCACACTTCCTGTTCTGGGGACAACCAAAAATTTGGGATTTTCTTTTATTTTCAGTGATTATAGTAAACAGGACTAATAGCGGGGGTGAATCTCCCTAACACGTGCACAGACAGTAATAAAAACCTGACCGGGATTTTAATCTCTCTCCACTTTATCCAGAGCATAAAAAGTTTTGCCTTTTAGTTATACTTTTAACTTTTCAGTAAAAACTTCAAATGTGTTATCTTAATTATAAAGTGCAGGACACAGACTGAGTATTCATAGACCCTGGGTTATAGGCTTGTACCTTAAGGTGATTGGACACTCTCGGTCATATAACCCTACCCTACTTTTTTTTTTTGTAGTGTCCTAGGGTGATGGATCTCTTCTCCCTTAACTAGTTAAATATTTTATGTTCAGATTCTTCAATCAACCTTTTCACTTTCTCCCAATACAGCAATAGTAGCAGTGCCTCCCAATCCATTTCGGGGTATGTGTCTGCTTGGAATGTATTCACTTTACACTGTAAAGTGACACTGTTAGGTGTCTCAAAGTTAGTAGCTCTATCTTGCAAACAGCACCTTCTTGTTTTGCACAAGTACAGGGTGGTTTTGAGACCAAGATTTTCTCCTTACCTAAGGTGATCTGCTCCTTTCACCTCAATGAGGACATTGTACACCCTTCCCTCTGTCCCATCCCAGAACATGCTAAGTAAACTGTCTTACATTGCATGGATGTGGTTAAGGCTGTCAGAGTCTGTGGCAGCCACGCTTTTTTTTTTTCACAATTGTTAGTCCCTTTTTTTTTCTGTCTGGAGGGCCTCATAGATACCCTGCGTCCCGCTTCACCATTACGAGGTGGATCAGACAACTCATCTACAGAATCTTCTCCCTTAAGGAGAAAGTTGCTCTCTTTCCCATCAGAACCCATTCCATTAGGACTGTTGGTGTCTCCTGGGCTTTTCAGCCACATGGTCCTCTCTATTTATACTTTTTTTTTTTTTTTTCCTCCAAGTTCTTCCAGGTGAATGTTCAGGCATCAGTTGATGCACGTTTCAGTCACTGGTTGCTTCAAGCTGCAATCTGAGTATTTTATTCAGGTTATTCGGTTATGAGGTTTCTTGTGGGCCGGTTGGCAGTTTCAGGTTACTATGTTGTTGCCCACCCCTCAGTTTTATTGCTTGTTTACGTCCCATGGTCTATGAATATCAGTTCTGTGTCTTGTTTTGTACAATTAAGATGATAGGAATTTCTCCTCTACTCTGTGCCTTGATCACTCTTTGCTGCCTGCTAAAAAGCTGAAGCCTCACAAGCAGAGTTATATGGGAAAGCCCTAGCAAACGTTTTTCCCAGTGGTCTATGTAATCAACATTAAGGAATTTACATACAGGTTTTTTTTTTTTTTCTTGTTAAAACCTATTTTTTTCATAGGTTTCCAAGCTTTTTGCCTTTTGAAGTTGCCATTAAATTACTATAGCTTGCTATCTGAAGAAATTGCTGTAGTGTGATATTTGGTATTTCCCATACGTTTAAATGAGAATTACTTTCTATTTCTTTAGTTTTATGACACCACTTCATATAGCTGCTGAGAGAGCACACAATGACGTCGTGGAGGTTTTGCATAAGCATGGAGCAAAGGTAATATTAAGCTTATTTGTGTGTTTCTTATATAGTTGGAGACCATTTTGTGTGTTCGTTACTTAGAAAAAAAAGCATATGTTGTAACTGCACCCAACCTTGACCTATTTTTTGACCTATAGTTTTTGACCTATCAACCAAATAGGCCCAACTGTCTGATGTAGTTTAAGAGCTAAAAGAGTGGTTGTATTACAGCAAGGAAGCGGTTCCATGAATATCAACAATTTTGGTTCTGTCACACTTCCACCAATCTACGATACACAAAAGACGTACCACAGTTTAGTAGAGTTTATATCAGGCACTAAGGCTGAAGGTTATTTACTTTCATGCATTCTATGCATGAAGGTACAAAACCTGTGTGCTGCTCACCCCGCAGACCCCCACCCCCCAAATGCTCACCTTAGCCCCCTCTCGATCCAGTGATGTGCACAAGAGCCTCGGCTGTCCGGGTCGGTCTCTCCTCTCTCTCTCTCTCTCTCTCTCTCTCTCCTCATTGGCTGAGACACGGCAGCAGGAGCCAATGGCTCCCACTGCTGTCAATCAGTCAGTGAGCCAATGAGGAGAGAGCGAAGGTGGGACCGAGCTGTGGTGCTATGTGTCTTTATGGTTTTGTTTTATTGTAATGTAATTCTAGGAAGCAATGTAGCACTGATACTGTTGTAAACATAGCATCTTGTTGGTTATTGAATTCCCTAGAGCATACTTCTGACAGAAAGTGAGACAGATATGTGTTAACAATCTGTATATACTTTAAAAAAAAAAAAAAAAAAATATTCTATAAAAGTGCTGCTGTAGTTTGCTTAATCCATGAACCTGATTTTAGGATTGGGAAGTTAAACTCAATGATACAAAGTAGTTGGAACTGTGTGGTAATGCCACTGTAAAAATGTTAACAAGGATCTGGTCATTTAGATTGTTTTCAAATGGTTTTGAAACTGTTGATTGATAGGTCATTTTGTGCTGCAGACATGGCGTGTGATAAATGGAAGGGATCTCAAGTTTGTATAAGCTTTTGGGATTTACAGCTTAGTGATACTTTGGGGTAAGTAGCACAAGACTGAGAAAACTCAGTGTGGGGATAGTGGGTTAGCTATTGAAGCTGGAAATTCGTCCCTTAATTGTTTGGGAATGGGTGGTGACTTGGGCAATGATGGTGGGAGGGAGAAGCTCTCTGGGTAGTGATGTTGGAGAAGAGAGAAGGCTAGTTTTGTAAGGGGAAGGGAAAGCCACTTTTTCAGCATTCATGGGACAGATTAGCCAGTGATTCTTAGATTATATTGGTTCAGATTGTTAATTTTGGAGTGGGTAGCAGGTAGTTCATCAGGTAATGATGGTGAAGAGAGGAATGATGCAAGGGAGTCTTAATTGAGTTGCAGTTGTTGGAAGGAAGGATGCTTGGGTTACTGATACATTGATTAACCCAAGCATCCTTCCCCACAATGATGTTGAGGCTGATATGCTTTTTAGTTGGAAGTTATATGTACATGTTAATAAGGAGTACAGCAGTGGATACAGAGGTCTGAGGCAAGTTATTATAACCTTGAAAATTTTGTATGTGAAAATTGATGTCTTTAAAGTGGAACTTCACTCTCTCAATCAACAGTGTCTATTTTTAATTCATATGCTGCTAGCATTAGTAAATAGATAGGAAGGTTATTATATTTACCTGTTTTAAACTTGTTTTATCCATTTCTTTGGGTTCCTTCCTGGTTTTCATGCCTAGGCAATTGATGGCAAAAATCGCAGGAGTCTTTAGGAGGAGAGGAGGGGCTTTCTCGGCTAGACACACCCTCCTGCTTTCATGCATGAGTTAAGGGCACATGGATTCCAGGAAGTAAATGCTATATGAATCATCTGCCTTTACTCAAGATGGCCACTGCCAGAAATGCTCGGGAGTGTTTTTCAAAGTGATTTCTCAGCAAAACAAAGCATGGAGACATGGATGGATGGGGAGTTTGCTTTGAATACTAAAAATGAATTAAATAGTGTTTTTGTTTTGTGGTGTTCAGATAGTGTAATTCCACTTTAAGATTTATGCCCTGAGTAACCCTTTCAGTATCTGTCGCGGCCTGCGTAGTGGTTTTCTACATGTATTTTATTGTTACGATCAAAATGTAAGCTTTATTGTAGCAATCTTACAATAAACTCTGATTTTGATTTAAAGTTTTGCAGCTGCTTTAGTTCTGAGCTCATTTTTATGCTTGCAGGTCTAGAGATATGTAAATAAAAATTGTTTATTCAGAGTTGTCAGTGACAAATTACTAGTTCTTCAGTTTGGGATTGCACCATTGCACATTTGTTTTTCATGGAGTTTATTAGGCATTTGTTATAATGCGTGCTTGTGTTTACTGTTCAGATGAACGCTCTGGACACGCTTGGGCAAACAGCATTGCATAGAGCTGCTTTGGCGGGGCACCTACAGACCTGTCGTCTCCTGTTAAGTTTTGGCTCAGATGCATCGATCATCTCTTTTGCAAGGATTTACAGCGGCGCAGATGGGAAATGAAGCTGTACAGCAAATTCTAAGTGGTAAGTGAACATACCTTCTAGACGTTAACTAAAGTTATGCACTAGGAAAGCATAACATATTGCACACTGCTAGTGTACGTGGCATAATTTTAGATGATGCATTTACAGTCAAAGCATGTTGAGGTATTGCTGAGTGACTGTGGACAAGAAGTCAAAGTTCACAGGATTCAGTGTTCACTGAACTGAGATTGAGCTCTGCAATCACTTTTGCAGCAGTTGTTTTCTTATTCTGGGTCACAATCCTGCACAGTGTGCTTTTGTCTCTTTAGGTCAGTTGACCATGTCAACCGTGCTTATTCTTATCAGATGACGTTTTCCCAGATACTGCCGTCATAACCTTTGATACTGTAACTCACGACACGGCAAATAAGTTGGCAACTTCAGTCACAGAGCCACTAGCTAAGTGGGTACCCGCAATTTGCCCCTTTGTAGCTCAGTAGTCTGACACAACTCTCTGACTGTTTTAAAAGTGAGGCTTCCCGCCTGTTAGCTAGGTGTCTCATCACTTTCAACTCAAAACAATACCACTTTCATACCTGCAAATTATGGAATGTTTCCATTTTTTGTTTAACACCTGTATATATTCCTGTGCAATTCACATGCAGGTCTGTGCAGTGCGATTTCAGCTCATTCATTTTGAATGAGCTGAAATCACACCGCATCGCACCAGAAGTAGTGCATGCACTACTTTTAGAAACGTGATGCAACCGGATTGCATGGTACTTTTACACCATGTGCTCCACTCCTGTCAAACGCTCTGCCTTTGTGACCTGCATCTGGGGTACCATTAACTTATTATTTACCCCCGCTGCAGATGGCAACTGCAGCGCATTTTGAACGTGAGGCAGGAAACCCCCACGGAACGCCCTGCTGTCTGGTGTGTACGGGCCCATTTTAACTGCTGTGTTTTGGTTGCTCTCGTTTCCTGATCAAATTAGCAGTGGTTATCAAATGTGCTGTCTAACTACATAATGTTATTGAGCAGGTATAACTTATATATATAATTATTTATTTATTATTATTTTTTTTAATACTAGAGAGCACACCTGTCCGAACATCTGATGTTGATTACAGACTACTTGAAGCGTCAAAAGCTGGAGACTTGGATACTGTAAAGGTAAAATACAGTTGTGCCTTATAACCATTCGCAATGGTTATTTTAATATTTGAAGTAGAATTCCACACAGAAACTGAGTTTAGTTTTGCATGTGAGTCGGTTTCCTGAAGTAATAATTACATATTTTGAAAAATATATTCGCAAAACGAACATTCAGAAGTTTATATCTATTGTCAACTCAAGGTATTTAATTTAAAGAGACTATAAACACTGGAAGCTGTGAGCATAAAAAGGCAGGTAAAATAAACAAAATCCTCCTTTTATGGTAGCTTAAATACCCTTATTCAGTCTCTAAACTCTGTGCTTCTTTTGCGATGGCTAAAGGCAATGTGTAGTTTTTCTACTGCTTATTTACTATTTATATGGAAAAGAAGCAATATATCCTCTTTAAGAAGTTATACAATACCTTGAAAAAATATTCATACCCCTTGAAATTTTCCACATTTTGTCATGTTGCAACCAATATCCATCCTTGATTCCCTCAGAGGTACTCTCCCTAATGAGTAACTTGAATTCATATTTTTAGCCCTCAAGTGCATGACTATACATTTTTCAACATTATTAATCATTTGCCATGTAGTTGCTTAGCTTTGTATTGTCTGCAAACAGCAGATTGAAGTTTATATTTCAACCTCTATATCATTTATGAGCAAGGTAAGCTGAATTGGTTCCAGAATAGAGCCTTGGGGTACCCCACTTACAACTCCAGTCCCTTCAAAATATCCGCTTTTTATCATCACCCTCTAGATCAGCGTTTTTCAACCACTGTGCCGCGGCACACTAGTGTGCCGTGAGATATTGTCTGGTGTGCCGTGGGAAAAATTCCAATTTCATCTGTAACATGTGGCTTCGGCTCACAAATAGACCAATCATTAGAATCTAATGATTCAGTGGTCGGCAAGCCGCGGCTCGCGAGCCACATGCGGCTCTTTACCCATCTAATGCGGCTCTTCTGTGTGCCGGGCGCCTGCTCCCCTCCCTCCTCTCGTAGCCCCAAAAGTCCGCGCGGACCTTTTAATTTGCGGATGTGGCTGTCAGGATGTGTGTAAGCGTGCCGAACGTGAGGGGAGGGGAGCTAGGCTCCTCTCACAGTCCGCCCTGAAGACCCGAGGCGCGGGAAGACAGCGAGAGGAACGCAAAAGGTAAGTGAATTGACACGGGGGACTTGGCTTACTAGAAGGGGGGGGGGGGAATAGTACTGTGGGGGATGAAATACTATATGAGGGATGAATTACTTTATGAGGGATGAAATACTATATGGGGGGATGAAATACTATATGGGGGATGAATTACTATATCAGGGATGAATTACTATATGAGGGATGAAATACTATATGGGGGGATGAAATACTATATGGGGGGATGAAATACTATATGATGAATCCCTATAGAGGGATTTAAATACTATATGGGGGGATGAAATACTATATGAGGGATGAAATACTATATGGGGGATGAATTACATATATATTACTTGAGGGATGAAATACTATATGGGGGGATGAAATACTATGAGGGACTATATGAGGGGATGAAATACTATTTGAAATCTATATGGGGGATGAAATACTATATGAGGGATGACCATATGAGGGATGAAATACTATATGAGGGATGAATTACTATATGAGGGATGAAATACTATATGGGGGGATGAAATACTATATGGGGGGATGAAATACTATATGGGGGGATGAAATACTATATGAGGGATGAATTACTATGGGGGATGAATTACTATATGGAGGATGAATTACTATATGGGGGATTAATTACTATGCTTACTATGGGGGAATATTACTATACTTACTATGGATGACACATACACATTTCATCTACTCTTGGTCCGGCCCCCGGGTCCAATTATAAAATACTTTTATTATTTCATGGTAAAGTAATTATAAAATAATTTCATTCCTATTCAAGAGAATTACTTTATATATAGTCAATATAGGCACAGAGGTTTTTTTTAACATTTTCTAATGGTGGTGTGCCTCGTGATTTTTTTCATGAAAAAAGTGTGCCTTTGCACAAAAAAGGTTGAAAAACACTGCTCTAGATGATCTCTGGTAACCCGTTTTCTGTCCAGGAACATATACTTTCATCAGTGCCAACAGACCTCAATAAATTAAGCTTTTATGGTGTACTGTATCAAATTCTTTGGAGAAATGTAGATACACCACATCCACAGGCCATCCTCTGTCTAGATATAGATTATTACTTCCTTAGAGAATGTAAAGAGGTTGGTCTAGTAAGAACATTTTTTCATGAATCCATGCTGATTAATACTAATGATTCCATTTTCATTTAGCAAATTCTTGTATATGGCACCTTGACATTTTCAGTGTTTACTTATTGATGTTATGCTGATTGGTCTCTAGTTTCCAACTAGTATATATCTTGGCATTGAATATTGGCACCAAGTTCACTTTCAATCAACTGGTACCATTCGAGTTGGTAAGCTGTTCTTAAAGATTGGGGACAACAGTCTGGCTATAACATTGCTAAGTCCTTTGAGAACCCTTGGGTGTAAGCCATCTGGTTCTGGTGATTTATTCACATTAGATTTTCAAGTCTTTTTTTGAACACTGGCTTTTGTTTGCCCCAAGGATACATTCTGTGTTGTGCTATTAACAATGCAGGCTTGTATATTCTACCCCTCATTTTCCTTTGCAAAAGCTGAAGAAAAGATTGTATTTAATACTAGTGCCTTCTGCTTGTGATTTTTAACTAGTAAACCTTTTGGGTACTCCTATTTTTGTTTCTGCTTACTGTACATTACTATGAATGGGAGCACTTTCAGCCTCAGACATGTCAACAGCTTGGCAATTTACTTACCGTAGACTGGAACATCCCATCTTGGTGTAAACACGTTTTGTTCCCCATTTCCACCATGGACTTAATTTGATATTGATAAGCTTTGCACGATTGCCATCTAATGTGCCTGGGAATTTTTTTTTTTTTTTTTTTTTTTTTTTTTTTTTTTTTCTGTGGGGTTTTTTTTAATAAAATTGTGTAAAAAAAAAAAAAAAAAAATATATATATATATATATATATATATATATATATATTTTATATTGATTGTGTGTCTGATGGAGTCAAACACAGGATCCCAGCAAACGAAAGCAAGATTGCTAAGCACTTGTCCTCAATATAAGAAAAAGTTTAAGTGCCTTAATTGTGCTAGCATTGGCAAATGCCAGTTCAGATATTCTTGTCAGGAAATCAACTATGGCTTAACATGTAATTTTCCTCTCATATATTACAGAAGCTGCTAGTGAACTGCAAAATATTCTCATTTAGGAGTGTTAGTAATAACTGAAAAACCTGTACTGTCATGAGTTGTTAAGAACTGAATTAGAGCACTTCTAATCTAAATAGCATTCTGTGTTCCTGGGCTTTGTGATAAACATACTTCTGTGGAGGGTGAAATTCTGTTTATTGGTCCGTTTTTATATAAGTAAATTTGTCAGATCTATGCCGTTCTAAGACATCTATCCGGAGAACAAATAGAGCTTACTAAGAAAAAAAAAATGTTTTTAGCAGTTTTAAAAAGTTGTTTGAGATGGCGACTCCCATATTTTAAATTGCCTTTCTACTTTTACTTTAAGAATGCTACAGACAGTGCTGATCCTGATTAGTGTAACCATGACAACCAGTGAGTTCAGCTAAAGGTGTATCCTTAAAATATGGCTAAGAGCCATTCTTAAAATAGTTGGTTTGTTTCAAAAAGCTTTCACTGCAGTTGTAAGAGACAGGTTCCTGTGTGTTGCTAAAATGCGTATTGTGTGTGATACTTTTATTTTTACCCACTTGCCTACTGGGCCCATTGCCCAGGCCAATTTTCTGCTGTCAGCTCTGTCGCACTTTGAATGACAATTGTGCGGTCATGCAAGATTGTACCCATATTAAATTTTTATCACGCAGATAGAGATTTCTTTTGGTGGTATTTAATCCGCACTGGGTGTTTTTATTTTTCGCACTATAAACAAAAAAAAGAGCAAAAAAATTTGAAAAAAAAGTTTTTTGTTTCTATTATAAAATTTTGCAAACAGGTAATTTTTCTCCATTGATGTGCGTTGATGAGGCTGCACTGATATGCAGCACTGATGAGCACTGATAGGCGGAACACATGACCTGGTTTTGAAGAGTTTACTAAAAACGAACCCCTTCCCAAATGGATTCATCCATTTTCAATAGAGTAGGGAAGGGTTCAGTCTTCTGCTAGGTCCTCAAAGTTGTGTAGAAGGAGGTCCACCCTGAGGGGCCGCAATGTTTTGAGCTTGCCTTCTCAGTTGAGTTTCTTTTCACATCTGTGCTTGTAATTAACTATGCCTCCTTACCAAAAATCTGTCATGTAAAAGTGATAAACCACAAGTGCCATCCTCAACTACCACATTCCTTTTTTTAAAAGAAGACACATGTCATAGACACAGGAACAGGGAAGGAGGGCATGAACATTAAAAGTAGAGCAAACTGAAGACCTGCAAGGGACCGTAAGAAACGACAGACTAGTCCAATAATTATCCTCTACAGTTGACCATTAGGGGAAACCAAATTGCTTGATAAGGCCCTATTGGTTTGCCCAATGCACCACCTGAATGCCTTTCAACTTGACATTGTTGAAGTAGGAGAGACAACTTGAATTGTAGCAAATTAGTTCCTCCTGAAGGTTTTGGTAAGATTGAAACATACAGTATATTAAAACAATTAGACGTGGTGCACAACAGCTTGAGGGGAAAAAAATATTTGATTCTTTTTTTTTTTTTTTTTTTTTTTTTTTCTTTGATGGTGTGCTGGCCTTTTTTCTTTTTTTTTTGCTACTGGACTTTTGCAGTGTCTCTGTTGGCCATGCACCTAGGTACAGGTGAGAGAGGTGAAAATGCTTGATGGATAATTTAACATATTTAAAGGGTCATATTTCTGTCTGCGTCCCCATTGGTTAGATCCTCCTCCCTTTCATGTTGTGGTGTCTACACAGGAAGTGTTGACACAGACAACAGTGAAATCCCTGGGTCAGATTCTAACTCTTCTTTTCGCAGTTAAAAATGATTGCTCTCTGTGTCCATCTTGGAAATATTCAGCTAACTTTCTTTCCCCCTCACGACACAGGGCATGCAGGTAAACTTTCTGACAACAAATTATGGCAGCCCTTGCCGGTGACAACAAGGATAGCAGAAATAAAACTTGTATAACATTCTCAGAATAAACATTTTATATTGGACACTATTCTACAAGATACTTCCACAAATGTGGGCCATTGATTGCAAACAAGATGTGTTAATTTGCACACACAAGTGTTTTTCTTAACCGATTCCTTCAAACCATGTTGCAAAAATGAATACAACCCAGTGAAAGTCTTAGGAGCAAAGCTAAATTTTAGACAACACAATCCTAATTAACAAAAATGTAACTACTGGTGGTGAGTTATTCATTAAACAGATGTCCAGCAGACAATTGATTATAATTGGACGTTACTTAACCGCTTCCCGTCTGCCGTATAGCAGAAATACTGCTACAGGATGGCACAGGTGTGTAAAATCACATATTTATATGTGATTTTGCATTTCTGGGTAGGGGGGCGTGCGCACCCTACCCGCGCCGCCATTCGCAGCATCGTCTGTCATTCACCGTGTCCCAGCCTGTGATTACCAAGCATCTCTGATGGGGAGGAGGACTGTTTTGTTTACTGACAGTTCTCCTCCCGGTCAGCTCAGGCACACTGCTTTAGATGGCTGTGCACAGCCACCCAAAGCAGCGTACTTACAATGAAGCACACTGACACCGGCCCCCTAGAAAAAAAACTCCCTGCACACAGTTAACCCTTCGATTGCCCCTCATGTTAACCCCTTCCTGCCCAGTGCCATTAGTACAGTGTCAGTGCTTTTTTTTTTTTTTTTTTTTTTTTTTTAGCACTGATCACTATATTAATGTCACTGGGGTTGTCAGTGACACCAAGTCAGTTCCCCCCAGTGTCAGAATGTCCGCCGCAGTCTCAGTCGCTGATTGCCACCATTGCTAGTAAAAAAAAAAAACATTCCAGTATCTATACTGTCATTTCTAAACGCTAAAACATTTGCTAAACTGATTAATTTACACATATTGGGATTTTTGTTTAGCAAAGACATGTAGCAGAATACATTTCTGCCTACATTTATAACGAAATGTAATTTTGTAAAAAAAATTTTACTGGACGTGTTTAATAGCAAAAAGTCAGAAATACTGTTTTTTTTTTTTTTTTTCCTCAATTGTCAGTCTTTTTTTTTTTTTTTTTTTTTTTTTTTTTTTTATAACGCAAAAAATAAAAACCACACAGGCTATCAAATACCACTGAAAGAAAGCTCAATTCATGGGGAAAAAAAGGACGGAAATTTCATTTGGGTGCAGTGTTGCATGACCACGCAATAATCAGTTAAAGTAATGCAGCGCCGTAACGCAACAAAATGGTCTGGTCAGGAAGGGGGGTAAATCCTCAGGAGGGCAAGTGGTTAACAAAGAAAACCCCTTCCCTTTTCATGCTGTCAGCAATGGCACCACGTGGAAGAGAAATGTCACAAGGCCTGAGAAAGAAAATTAATTTCTTTATGGTGAAGGCTACAAGAAGATCAGCAAAGCTTTACTTATCAGTCAGAATACTGTAGCAAAGTAATACAAAAATTTAACAAAGCTGCAACTGCAACCATCTCACAGAGACTTCCAGGCCGTCCATAGAAGTGAACACCTCAAAAGGAGCGCATTTTGATGAAAAGGGTTGAAGAAAATCACAATGCAAGTTTACTGCAGTTAGCTAAAGAAGTCGAACGCCAAATTGGGGTGACACAATATGGCGTACACTGCAGAAGAATGGCATGCATGAGTGTCATCCACAAAGGAACCCTCTCCTAAAGCCCATGCACAAAAAAAGCCCGCCTAGAATTTGTCAGGGCCCATGCTGAAAAAGAAGACAACTTGAACTCTGGAGTGATGAGACCAAGATAAATGTTTTTGGAGCTGATGGCTTAAAAACTGTATGGCATTGCAAAGGTGAGGAATACAAAGAAAAATGCATGGTGCCTACAGTGAAACATGGTGGCAGTGTCCTTCTGTGGGGCTGCATGAGTTCTGCTGGTGTCGAGGAGCTGCATTTCATTGATGGTATCATGAATTCACAGATGTACTGCTCTATATTGAAAGAGAAGATGCTACCATCACTCTGTGCCCTAAGTCATCATGCACTTTTGCAACATGACCATGATCCAAAACACACATCTAAGGCCACTATTGCATTTCTGAAGAAGAACAGGGTAAAAGTGTTTCCGTGGCCAAGTATGTCTCCTGATCTGAACCCAGTCGAACACCTCTGGAGAATTCTGAAGAGACAAGTTAAGCATCACTCTCCATCTAGCATCCAGACTCTAAAAGAGGTTGTTCCTGAAGAATAAAAAAAGATAGATGTTGCAATATGTCGCCAACTTGTTCATTCCATGCTTAGAAGATTTGGTACTGTCCTTACAAATCATGGAGGTCATACAAAATACTAGATGTAGTAGTTTTTGTTGTGGGATGTATTCATATTTGCATAAACTAATTTGAGTAAAACTGAAGGTTTTGTAATCTGTTATATTATTAACCTTTCATGTAATGAGCTAAACAAATGTTCTATAAAACTCAGTTTTTGGAAATTGTTCTTGTGTTCATTGATCTCAAGTAATTTTTTTTTTTTTTTTTTCTTTTCATTAATTTTATTAATTTTATTAACAGCAGCTATGCAGCCCTCAGAATGTGAATTGCAGGGATCTTGAAGGTCGTCATTCAACTCCATTGCACTTTGCTGCTGGTTATAACAGAGTTTCTGTTGTGGAATATCTACTGCATCATGGTGCTGATGTACATGCCAAAGACAAAGGGTAATTGTGTACTCAAAATGTGTGACTTGTTTTTCTCTGCTTGTTATGTTACTATATTTTGCTTATGAATTGTGGTTGTCATGGAAATAATGTATTAAAGTGGTTGTAAACCTCAGACATGAAATATGGACAAATCATATCCCTCTATAGTGTTTACTTGTCAAAATTAGCAGCACTAAGTGTCATTTCTATCTGCTGCCTCCTTCCTCTGCTGTCTGCATGAGTCACTTCTGACAGGTTTTCCTAACGCGGGAGGGTCCTCCAGCTGATTGACAGCCTCAGTTCTGTTCTTCTGTATTGTGTAGAGGGGGTGTGTCTCATCCCTCCAGTTAGCTCTCAGAGTTTTCCTCACTGAGCTCTGCAGAGTGTTATTTTCGCTCCCTGCCCCCTTTTTTTCTGAACTTTTTGACATGCTTTATAAATTTCAAACTTTGAACAGGTGTAGAGAAGGGAAGACCGCAGATAAACAGGTATAACTTATGTTGGAGGCTTTGTTTCATCTCTATATATATATCACCTGAGGCCAGCCACATGAAACTGAAGTGCATATTGGACTGTGCTATTGTGTTTTTTTCTTTTGTTGAATTTTAAATTCATGTTTTACAGGTTTTGCTCAAAATAACGATTATATTTTAGTTTAATATTGTCAATCATTTTCTGATTGAACAGGGGTCTAGTTCCTTTACACAATGCTTGCTCCTATGGACACTACGAAGTAGCAGAGTTATTGGTGAGGCATGGGGCTTCTGTCAATGTTGCAGATCTATGGAAATTTACTCCATTGCATGAAGCTGCTGCTAAAGGAAAATATGAGATCTGCAAACTCCTGCTAAAGGTAATGTGGTATTTTATTTGCTTATGGTCAGCTTTGTTACAGTAGGCATTCAAATATTTTTTGGGCCTTTCATTGGTAGCCTTTGAAAACACATTGGAAAGCCAAAAGCATAATCTTCTCTGTAAAGGCTGCATCTATAAACTATGCATAAAGTAAAATTTTGGACCGGAGTGGAATGAAAATGGGTAAGTATATACATCTTTTTCATAGGTTAGTTAGAAGGAGGAGGGGGTAATTTTAAGGCAAGTTAGGTTTAAGCTGGATCTCTACTTTAATAAAAGAAAATACTGATTGCTTAGCTTTTTATCTCGTTGCTGTAAAGAGCAAAATATATTTCTTTTGAAAGAACAAATTTTACATTCCATGCCATAAAGAACAAGGTATAATGGAAATAAGAGTTGGCAGAAGGAGTTTGATATCAGATTTATTGTAGGTAACAGTAATGCTAAATATCAGTCAGATGTAAATGTTTGAGGTTTTCCAGCCCTAATATCTGTCTAATATTACTACAGCTTTATTACAGTCTTGTATGCCTACACAAATCCATTTTAAAGTTCGAAAGTAAAACCTAACAGACACAGATGAACAGTGCTATGTATTTACTAGTAAATCATTACTTTTTTTTTTTGTAAATGTGATTAGTGTAAGTGCTGGTATTTGACTTGAGATCAGCCTGTTTACTCCCTTTGTTACAGTAGTACACAGACTTATGGAGGTGGGCAGGGCAGACCTATAGTTGATCTGATGTGATGCTTACAAATGCACGTACAAACATATTGATAGGAGGAGAGAATAGAGTGAATAAAGAGGAACTGTCCAGCCAGCAGGCTTGAGGGTGGGGAGAGGACACAATGTATTACTGAACACTGTAACAGAAAAAGTGTTGTCTTCTGGCTGTGCTCTGCTGTGTGATGGGGATATGCAAGTCTCAGAACTAGATGTACAGAAATACAACTCCTTTGGCGGAGTAACACAATTAATTTTTATGTATTTCTTCTGTGCCTTTAGATGAGAGCCTACAGTTCAGCTTTAAAATACCAGAGGAAAAAGGAAGATACATTTCCCCTTGAATGACACTAGCTGACACAAAAGGCCTCCCAGCTGTATCAGTAATTGGGGAACCAAGAGCATCAATGTACCCATCATGCTAATGCCATGCACAGTGTTTCTCCCAGTATTTAAAGGATAAGTTCTCCTTTTCACAAATTATAAATGCACGTTTTTTGAAGGTAAAAAAATGTGTATCTGTGTTTTTTTTTTGTTGCAGGAGCCTGTAAAGCATTGCACTAGCAATCAGCAGATCACTGGTGCCATGCAGGTCTCCTGTAGACCTGTCAGTGTTTCTGCTTGCCCATATGGGCAAGCAGATATACTGACAGGAAGAATCGGTGAACTACCATGGCTCTCCACAGTACCATGTTAGTTCATTGAAAAGCTTGCAGAACGCTGAATGACACGACCATGTGGGCTGAGCCCCGCACGACCGCGCTGTTTTTAAAAAGTGACAGCTTGGAGGAGGAACTTCTCCCTGTATTGTTGTCACAAGGATGGGGGGGGTGATCAGGCAGTGACTGCAGCATTGGGAACATGTTACATTTTCTACCCTAAAACCGGGTGGAATATGTAACATGTTCCCAAAGGTGAACTTATCCTTGATTTACTTGCCTACCGGTCACTTGTACCCCCTGAATATACCACACTGAATGACAACTGCATGGTCATGCAGCATTGTACCCATATAAAGTTTTTATAATTTTTTTCTCAAAAAATAAAGCTTTCTTTTGGTGATATTTAATCACCGCTGGGTGTTTTTTTTTTTTGCACTATTAACAAAAAAATAGCAAAAAATTTGGAAAAAAAAGTTTTTCTTTGTTTCTATTATAAAATTTAGCAAACAGGTAATTTTTCTCCTTCACTTATGTTCGATGATAAGGCTGCACTGATGGGCAGCACTGATGGGCACAGGCAACACTGGGCACTGATGAGTTGGCATGGATAGGGAGCACTGATGAGGTGGCATGGATAGGCAGCACTGACTGATGGCACTGACTGGTGACACTGATGGGTGGCACTGCTGGTTACAGGTGGGTGGCACTGCTGAGCGCCACTGATCATCAAGGCACTCTGTTTTCTGACAATTGCTGGTTATCGGCAGTACTTTCCTCACGCTGTGACAGTGTGAGGAATGTGCAGCCGATAACCGGCAACTGTATTTACTCTGTGATCTGCTGTGTCATTGGACACAGCTGATCACGTGGTAAGACTGCTGTGATTGGCCTTTTACTACATCATGTGATCACCTGTGTCCGCAGGACACAGCAATCGTGGAGATCACTGGGGGCACGCGGGAGGGCGCGTTCTGGGAGGGCATCATATAACGACCTCCCAGAACTGGACAACTGCGCTGCAGCCGTCATTCAGCTATATTATGGTTGCCAAGTGGTTAAAACAGTCAGTGGTTGCTTAGTGCTGTGTGCACATTATGTATTACAAGTATTTATATAGCACAAGCAATTCACCGAGCTCTTTACTTATTGTACATTCAGAACATTCCCTGCTGTCAAGGAGCATACATAGGAAGGTGTCTACCTCACGTGGATACATACACATACTAGGGTCACTTTAGACAGTGGTCAATTGACCTACCAGCGTGTATTCGAAGTATGTGAGGAAACAGGCGTAATCAGCCAAAAACCACAGAAGCATAGGGAGAACATTCAAGTGCCATACCGATAGTGCCCTGGTTGGAATTTGAAAGCAGGAACCCTAGTGCTGCAAGGCAGTAGTGTAACCACTAAGCCACATTATATACCATTTTCCATACTCTGTGTCTTAACCATTTTTTACTTGAAATACTGTGCCTCTCAGTAATTATAAAAAAAAAAAGACCAAAGGAAATGTGTGAACAGAAACTATGCTCGTACTGTCAGCCAAATGCCCCGAATGGAAGTATTGCTGCAAGGTTAATGGTAAAAGTATTATTTGTGAATATTCTTCAAGTTTGTCTTTGTTAAATTATACATTTTACACAGATATGCCCTAATTTTTACAGTAGGAGCATTCTTCTGAGGCTGGTACATACGAAAGAACATGCCTATAAATAGTTTTGTAGAAATGGAAGCCAACATAAGACTGAAACATGAGTCTCACAATATTAAGTTATAAATAGCCTGCTTCTCTGTTGTCTAGCATGGAGCTGATCCAACAAAGAAAAACAGAGATGGAAACACACCCCTAGACTTGGTAAAAGATGGAGACACAGACATTCAGGATTTGCTTCGGGGAGATGCAGCTTTACTTGATGCAGCAAAGAAAGGTTGTTTGGCTAGAGTTCAAAAGCTTTGCACACAGGAAAACATTAACTGTAGGGATACCCAGGGAAGAAACTCTACACCTCTTCATTTGGCAGGCAAGTATTCAGACCCCTATGTACAACGTTTCACTATATGTGTGTTTTTTGTGAGCAGGAATTTTATGGTAGCACGGTTTGTTAAACCTAAAATATTGCTTAAGATAGTAATTGTTTTACATTGCTTACTTTATTTGTATTTCTATCCCATAGTTCTTTTTCAAAGTCCTTTCACATCCCCAATTGATATCTTGTATATGTAGCAAGACACAGAGAAATCAGAGCTGGTCTATTCCCTCAACAGTGCTGATAAATCTACCAGTACCAAAGTGTCTGCTGCAGTTGATCCCGTGCTTGCACCAGAGCTTAAACTGGTTCTAAGCCTAAACCATTTTTTCACCTAACCATAGGCTTCTGCTCCTGTTAGTCAAACTCCTGTGAGGAGGGAGCTTGCTGGCGCTGTGAGTGTGCCTATGGACACATACAGACCAGCTTGGGAGTGCATGTGCATGGGTGTTCTGTTAGAACCTTGCCTCCTGAGAGGGCACTCGGAGAAAGAAGCAGTGGACAGCACAGACAGGGGACCACCAGAGAAGAGGTAAGAGACCATGCTGTGCAATACTGTTGCACAGAGCAGGTAAGTATAAATTTATTTTTTTTGTAATAGCTCTCTAAAATAGTTTTTAACATCACAATAAAGAATAAGTGCCCTTTCAGACAAAATGCCCTTATTCTTGTTACCCCTGTGTCCTCCAGCACTGATCTCTACCACAGACTCCACAGCTTTTTGTTAATTAAAGGACATAGGAATTCACAGACATTTGGGATATACTGCTGCCTACAAAAGCATTTGGGCACTGGGAAAAACATTTTTTTTTAAAAGAGATAGCTGCTGAGGTGGAGAGAAACCCCTGCCCACTGTCACGGCTGATCCTGGTATCTAATTTCGCAGTCGGTGACTGGCTTTCAGGTAAAAGTGATCTTAATAGCTCTACAGATGCCCAATCATTTTTACAAGGCTCAGAAGGCCCACATGCTGTTTTTTGGCGCCTCTGGTTTCACCAGGGAACCTGAGTTCACTGCAGTCGACTAAGCACCGAGGATAAGGAAGAACATATATTCATCTCTCTGCTCTGTAGTAGTAATACCAGAAAAAAAAATATAAAGAAACTGTATAAAAATACATTTTATATTAATTTAAAAAAAACATTTAAAGCACCCCCCCCCATGCTCACACACAAATGCGAACATGCATGTAAGTTCCGCATGCATATGTAAACTGTAATTGTACAACACGTGAGGTATCACTGCAAATTGTCAGAGTGGGAGCAATGATGCTTATACCAGATCTCACGTTTAGCTAAACTGGTAACCTATAAAGGCTTTTAAAGTATTGCCTATGTAAATTTTTAGGTACTGTAATTTGTTGCCATTTCATGGGCATGCGAAATTTTTAAATCTTCATGTTTAGGAACTGTATATTTTTATAACTGTGTATTTTTTCCTGAAAATGTTTTTTGTTATTTTATAAATGGCTGTGCAAATATGCGACATAAAAAATTTGAACAGCTACCATTTTATTCTCCAGGGCCTCTGCTTTCAGAAAATGTATAAGGTTTAAGGGTTTTAAGTAATTTCCTTGCAAAAATGCAGATTTTTACATATATGTGAAAATTTTCAAAATTGCCCTGGGCAGAAAGTGGCTAATCCCTAACAAATGTCTTCCATACCTAAAGACAGTCTTGGCTATTATTGACTTGTTTTGCACCACTTTAAAACGTGAGTATCAGCCTGTAGCTTCTTCCAGTGCTGTCCCCAGTCAAGGCTCCCTTAGGGTTTCCAAGACTGCCAAGATCGTTTTCTGTTCACCTGCTGTTTGCAGTTGTCCTTCATGGAGCTTGGAAGAACCCGGACAAACAAAACTGTGTCCGTGGGTTCTGAAATTGATTTTCCCGGCTCTTCAAAAACCATTGATTAAGCCTATCAGGGATATTTCCTTTTCCTCACTCACAAGATTGCGTTTCTTGTTACCATCACCTCTTGGGGGCAAGCATCTTGGCTGGTGGATTCATCCTGTAAAAAACTCTTCCTGGCCTTACAAAGGGATAGGAGGGTCTAGGTGGTGGTGAGGCCCAGAACTTTCTTAATAGCTATAAGGTAATTTTGGCTTTTCAGCTCAATCAAGATATTTAGTTCTTTCATCCCTTCAGCCCCAATTCATCAGTAGGAGATCTTCCTATTTTGGCCGGATGTAATTTGTGCTGTCTGTGTGTACATACCACTCACCGACTGCTTCCATTAGAAAAATTGACTCTCCCTTTGCCATCCCAGAAGATCCCCATAAAAGGGAACCTGCTGCTCGCTTTGTTTCTCGGTGGTTCACACAGATCATCATTCATCAGTAGGAGATCTTCCTATTTTGGAATTGGGTTCCACCCTTTTCTGTCATGTTGCGCTCTGCTAGGTCTGTGGGTGCTTTATGGAATTTTAGGCATCACGCTACAGTTTTCCTGATTTGCAAGGCTGTCACCTGGTTGTCACACAGTCTCAATTTTGCACCAGGTGGATGTCCATGTCCCATCTGATGCCAGCTTCTGGCGGCTCTTTGAGCTGCAGGTAGTCCCCGTTTTTGTGTTTTATTGTTTTTTTTGTTGCTGTTGCCCACCTCTCATTTGGACGCATTTGGTGTCTCAATTCAGTATTTGAATTCCTGTTCCCCTAAATGAACACACATTCTTGAATGTGTATTGAGGAGTGTCTGATACAAAAGTTCATCTCACTTGAAAGATATTTTGAAACTTTTAATGGTTAAGAGCATCAAATACAGCCAATGTGTTTCAAAGGAAAAAGCCCCCTACCTTCTTCAGTGTTTGAGCAGTCGATGTCAATAAAATCACAACAGAATGCACTAGGGGACCTGTATTAACCACTTCCCGCTCGTAGGATGTCATACAACATCCTGGACTTTGAGTGGAGATACTGGGATGATGCTTGCAGCTACATGCATCGTCCCAGTATCTTTTTTTTTTTTTTTTTTTTTTTTTTTTTTTTTTTTTCCTGTTGGCACTGCATTGTAATGTAAAAGCAATCCTAGTGGCTAATTACCTGCTAGATTGCTTTTATAAGCAGTTGGGGGCATTTTATATCTTAAGTGCACTTATGTGAATTAATTAATAGTAATTTGGACTTTAAATTTGGTTAAGAACCCATAATATAAAAAAAAATAACAAAAATTAAAAAAAATTTGGTAAATTTGAAGACAATTTTGCATTTTGTGGCAAATCATGACGTCTAGGAGTTCTTTTTTCAAAATTTTATTTGTTTTCAGCACACCAAAAATACATGGAAATTAGATGAAAATAATCAAACCGCTTTTTAGTCACAGACCTTTGTTATACATCTTTTTTATGGCATGCAGTAAGCATACACCATTAAAGCAGTAGCTACCCTGGGATCCTTTTCACTATTTTTTATTTCACTATTTATCATTTGAGGTTAATATTTCTGTTTAACAGTGTAAGTGTCAATTGGTATACAATATTTATCATTGAGGCACACTTTCACTCAATTGGTTCGTGAGTATGTTATTTTATTTATGCGCTTTAAATATCTGAAAGTTACTGCTCCTATCAGAAAAATGGATTCCCTGTTTGTTCTATCCTTGGGAACTTGCAAGGGGCACTCAACTTCAAAATCTATCATTGCACAGTGGATAAGGAGCCTGATTGCTAGAGCTTTAGCTCTTTAGCAAACAATCTCCTCCTGCATTCTTGCATGCTTACTCCTCTAGATCTGTAGGAGTTTCCTGGTCTTTTCAGCACAATACCTCTGCACCCCAGCTATATAGGGCCACCACCTGGTCTTCTGTTCATACTATTTCAACATATTACAAGAAAGGTGTACGTCTAATCTTCTGTGAATGCAGCTTTTAGCTGCAAAGATACTTCAGCAGCCCTCTGAACTTGGGGTTTTTTTTTACCCCTGTTGTTTGGGCCTGTTAGCACAATACCATTTGTCAAGTTGTTGCCCACCCTTCCTATACATTAGATGGGGATCTCCCATGGTGTATGAAGATGTGGCCTGTGTCCTGTATTGTACAATTAAAATGAGAGGAATTTTTGACTTATATTTAAATAAGTCAAAATTCTTGGTGTACAGTAGAAGATACAAGTCACCCACCCTTCTCTTCCTTGGTTTTCTCTGCATTGCTTGCTACACAAGTCCCACTCTTCTTTGTCTGTGATCATGCTCTTGGTATTGCTTTTTTTTTGCCAGCATCCCTGTGTGTTCCTTTGTGAACTTCAATGAACTGATGGTTTTTTTAGAAAGTAAAAAATTATATTTTTTATTCAGCCCTAATGGAAACTCATTTTAGGTTCACTAGATCTAAATTTCTAAGCTGAATTTTTTAGAATTCATTCTACATAGTACAGTGTGTCAATTTACTGTAACATGCAGTTGGCTTTTTGGTTTCTCATTTGAAATATCTTTTTTTGTTTCTTTGCAGCTGGCTATAACAATCTTGAAGTTGCAGAATATCTCTTAGAACATGGTGGTGCAGATGTAAATGCACAAGATAAAGGAGGACTTATTCCCTTACACAATGCAGCATCATATGGGGTAAGTTTTGATATTTGCACATGTTAAAAATATTTACAGACCTGATAGTGAAACAGGTGACTGAGAGATCTAAATCCAACATACTTTAGGAGTATCGTGTACGGTTTCTTTTGCTGTTTAGACTCCCCTGGTCCCTGTCACCCTTTGTCCTTAAAATAAACTTTTCTAAGATAAATCCAAAACAAAAATCTGTTATTTTCCACCTTGTGTAAATGCTAGTTTCCTAGCTGTGAGGCTGACCAACTGGTTTTAAACTTTGAGTCGCAGAGCGAGGATAAGTGTACATATCAGAAACGTTAGAGTAAAGTTAAGGGTCTATTTTCTAACATGTTGTAGATAAAAGCTTCTTATTCCAAATGTGCCACTATCCACCCTGAAGTGAATGGCAAAGTCGCCAGAAAATACAGCTGCAGGACATACAGCCCAAACTAGCGTGATTAAATAAACCGCCTGCTTTCATTTCTCTCCACACAGCCCAGGATGGTTGAAGACCTCCAAGTAAGAGATGGCGGCCAGCCACAACCTCACTGAGACAGAAAAAGCTCACCCCACACACTGAACAGAGGAGAAGATCCAGTCGCAGAAACTGCATTTTATTCTGTGCACATTCTTCTCTCCGCATTTATTTAGCCATAGGGTGCCATACAGGTCCAGGGCTGTGGTCCATTCCTATGGCACCCAAACCCTGAGGACCCATTCGGGGGCATGCCCATCCTGATGACAAACTTGGACAAGGCAAATTCTAACAGACTTAAATGCTCTTCTGCCTTGCCTTCCTCTGACTATATTCATGCATTTGCAGTTGAATTGCCTAGCCTGATTACATTTGCAGAAGGCAAGAGGGTTACTGACGTTTTAGTGGAGGTCGCCAAAGGTTTTACACCAGCAAAATTTGTGAAGTTAATCCTTCAGTTTCTTGCCATATGCTGGCTTTGGTGGACTTATTGGCAGAGGCAATGCGTATTAGCCTTTACCTAGATACACCTAGTTCTGCACAGCCTCCACTTAATTACATTAGACGCAAGAAATAAGGCAGTACCTAGAAAGCCTTTCCCTATTTTTGATGAAGTTGATTTCGATCAGTTTTTGGCCATCCCTGCTTGACAGAAGTCCATCATTTGATTGACTTCTGAAGAAGAGAAATGTTGCAAAACGTTTCCTGCTCAGCGACTGCAGCCACTGATCAGTGTATTCTGACAGCAGCAGGTGCAGCTGTCAGCATACAATTTTCTGGTGGGGATGGATTCCTCCATCTACCTTCTGTGTGGATAAAGAAACATTAGTTTTTTTTTCCTTCAGCTGAATTACCCACCTGTGGAAATCTTAACACAGAGAGGTTATTCCCTCCTCTTGGCATATTTGTTACCTTGTGTCCTATGAAAGTAGAATTCAATGGGGTTGGACAGAAGGGACAAGAAGGCGCTTCTAAGTGCAATAAGTCAAATAGGCTTTAATAAGTACCGTTAAAAAACACTTACAGGTTAGAAGAAATAACTGGTTTGTCAATGTGCGGGGCTCTTTCCACTGTATAGCAGCCCGCTGTTCTGGCCAGCAGCTTCAGGGGGAGCTCATGGTGAGGTGCCAAGATGGCCTCCGCTCTTCCGGGAACGCTGGAACACACACTGTCCAGATGGAACGCAAACCGTAAGTGACATGAGCATGGCCGGTGACGCGTTTTGGAGCATGTGAAACGCTCCTTCTTAAAGACTTACCCCAGGGTAAAGGACGAGCCTTATTAATAGGAGAAAGGAGCAGGGACAGGGCGGCCTTAGAGATTTGATACAGTTGTGCTCAAAAGTTTGCATACCCTGGAAGAAATTGTGAAATTTTGGCATTGATATTGAAATTATGACTGATCATGCCAAAAAAATGCTCTTTTATTGAAGGATGATGATCACATGAAGCCATTTATTATCAAATAGTTGTTTGGCTCCTTTTTAAATCATAATGATAACAGAAATCACCCAAATGGCCCTGATCAAAAGTTTAGATACCCTGGAATGTTTGGCCTTGGTTCAGACATACAAGGTGACACACATGGGTTAAAATGCCAATTAGATGTTAATGTCCCACATCTGTGGCTTTTTAAATTGCAATTCCTGTCAATGTATAAATAGTCAATGTGTTTGTTAGCTCTTACGTTGAAGCACTTACTAGGATAGATACTGAGCCATGGAGATCAGAAAAGAACTGTCAAAAGTCCTGCATAACAAGGTAATGGAACTTTATAAAGATGGAAAAGGACATACAAAGATGTCCAAAGCCTTGAATATGCCAGTCATCACTTCCACTAAGAAGTAGAAAATTCAGGGACCTCTTGATACCAAGCCAAGTACAGGTAGACCAAGAAAGATTGCAGCCACAACTGCCAGAAGAATTGTTCGGAATACAAAGGGAAACCCATAGGTAACCACAAGAAAAATACAATCTGCTCTGGAAAAAGACAGTGTAGTTGTTTTGAAGGAGCACAATATGATGACACTTGAACAAAAAAATGGGCTGCATGGTCGAGGTGTCAGAAAGAAGCCTTTGCTGCATCAATGACACAAAAAGGCCTGGTTAGGCATGTCAAGGTGTTGTCAGGCATATTGTAACTGGGCTTTTTTGTGGCATTGGTGCAGTAAAAGCTTCTTTCTGGCACCTCGACCAAACAGCTAATTTTTGTTCAAGTATCACCGTATTGTACTCTTTAAAACCAACCACACCATCTTTTTCCAGAGCAGCCTGTATTTTTTTTTTTTTTAGGTTGCCTGTGGGTTTTTCTTTGACTCCCTGACAATTCTTCTGTCAGTTATGACTGCAATCTTTCTTGGTCTACCTGACCTTGGCTTGGTATCAAGAGATCCCCGAACTTTCCACTTCTTAATAGGTGATTTAACAGTACTGATTGACATATTCAAGGCTTTGAACATGTTTTTATGTCCTTTTCCATCTTTATAAAGTTCTATTACCTTGTTATGCAGGACTTTTGACAGTTCTTTTCTGATCCCCATGGCTCAGTATCTAGCCTAGTCAGTGCTTCCACATAAGAGCTAACAAACTCATTGACTATTTATACACTGACATTAATTGCAATTTAAAAAGCCACAGATGTGGGACATTAACCTCAAATTGGCATTTTAACCTGTGTGTGTCACCTTGTGTCTGTACCAAGGCCAAACATTCCAGGGTATGTAAACTTTTGATCATGGCCATTTGGGTGATTTCTGTTGTTATGATTTAAAAGGAGCCAAACAACTATTTGATAATAAATGGCTTCATAAGATTATCATCCTTCAATAAAAGAGCATTTTTTTTACATGATCAGTCACATTTTTCAATAGCGCTTTCACAATTTCTGCCAGGGTATGCAAACTTTTGAGCACAACTGTATATGCAAACCCCTGGGAAACAAAACATTGTGGACGAACAACATTGAGATAAAAAGGAAGGTGACTAGAATTAGGGGAAATATTCTTTGAGATAGTAAGAGGTGGTAAAAATAAGCCCAAGATGCCGCTATACAGTGACAAAGTCCCCCATGAATAATGTCAGAAAATCGTTGGGCTCGTGTGCCCTGCACAAATAGAAATTGTATAGGCACCACTGGTACGAATATATAAATAAATAAAATAAGACAACATTGGTGGATTATGTGATTATCCGTGCTGATAATATATAAAACATAATGGAAAAAAAAATGTATAAGATATAGTAAATGAATGCATACGTACATATAATTAATAAAAGCTGTAATGTACTGAAGACATGACAACATCTTAAAAAGAGAGAAAAATTAAAAACCAAGGTGAATAAACGTTTACCGCAAACATAGATGATAATGATAAATTGGCTGATCTTGGTCTATATGGTGAGTACTTCTAATGGATGGTGGCTATACAGTAGAACCAAAAGCAAAGTACACCAGCCCCCCATAAAAAAGGCAGATGGAGTGTGAAGCAGATCTGGAAAAACCAAATGATATATTAGCATGGCTGTGATATATAGAAGGTAGCGACTCTATATGATGGTGTTGATCTCCAGGTCCTCATTCAAACCTCCAGGAGATAGTACATCCAGTGCATAAATCCAATAAGTCTCCCTGTGACACAGGCGCTGATATCTTTCAGCCCTGGGGAGATCAGTGGGTATGGCTTTGATTACCCAAACTCTTAGACCTTCAGTGGATTTGCCAAGTCATTCTAGAAAATGTCTGGGGACACTGTTTATCTATGCCGTCCTCAATGAGACGGCTATGCTCCGCAAAACATTTTTGCAGAGTACGAATGGTTCTCCCTACATAGTGTAGACCATATGGACATGCCAAACAATACACTACAACTTCAAAAGAGCATGTATGAAATTCTAGGGTCCTGTATGTTTTTACTTTTATACTTAAAGTCTTCTTGATCATGTTGGACAAATTGGCATGTCAGGCAAAGTGGTTTGTGACATCGATACATGCCAGAGATAGAAAAGAGCCGAAGGGGGACATTGTCTGGTTTTATGGATTTTAGTTTACTAGGTGCTAGTTTGCTTTTGATGTTTCGAGCCTTTCTGTAGGAGAACCTGGGTTTAGTGGGTATGCTATTTAGTAGATATTGGGTAGCAGTATGGACCAGTGCTTGCTTTCCACTTGTTCAATGTGTGTGTGACGACTATAGAATTGAGTGGTAAATCTGATGGTGGGATTTTCCTCTGTGGAACAAGGGCAGGTGGTGTTTGGTCCTATATTGTACAGTGATTGGGCTTTGTCAATGAGAGTAGACGGATAGCCTTTTTCAAGGAACTTATCCTTCAGAATGATACTTTGTGATTGATAGTCCCTGAGTTTAGTGCAGTTATTTCTAAGTCTGTAGAATTGACTTTTTGGGATGTTCTTGAGCCACCTAGGATGGTGGCAACTTCTATAGTGAAGAAAGGAATTTCCAGCAGTGGGTTTGGAATAATTTTTAGCAAAACTTTGATGGCCTTCATGGCACATGAGTAAGTCAAGAAATTCGAAGGTATCTTTATCATTGAGGTGAATGTGAGTCCCATATCATTAGTGTTGCAATGGGACACAAACTGTTGTATACTATCCACATCACCATCCCAGATGATAACATCATCGGTGTACCTACCATAGTACACCGTGTGAGATGAGTATGGATTGTTCCAAATGACTCCCAAAACCCCATAGTTAAATTGGCATATGAAGGGGCAAAGTTGGCACCCATGGCTGTGCCTTGAATTTGAAGGTAATAATCACCATCGAACTGGAAATATTTATGGTTAAACAGAATAAGGTGGCATCTAGAATGAACTGGGCTTGTTTTGGATTGAGAACTGAGCCTTTGGACAAAAATAATTGTAATGCTCTAATACCTGTATTGTGTGGTATAGAGTTGTATAGAGATTGCACATCTAGAGAGACCCACTGGTAAGTGGGCTCCCAGGGATATAGAGTAATTTGTTTTAGCAGATGAATGCTATCTCTGATATATGATTGTAGATTTTTGTGCCAATGGTTGTAAGAAGGTGTCTATATAAAGCGAGAAGCCACTAATGAGACAATTCATTGCTGCTACTATGGGTCTGCCAGGTGGGTGAGTGGTACTTTATTGTATTTTAGGTAGATAATAAAAATAGGGTGTATTGTAATAATCCTTAAAAATAAGAGGCTTCCGTTTGAGAAATGACGTTATCAGCACATGCCAGGCTTATTAAATTTTTTGCCTCTTTAGTGAATGTTGGCAGTGGGTCACCCCTTTAGTATAGGTGCGTGTGTCCGATAATAGTCGTAGGGCCTCCGTGATGTAGTCTGTCCTGTTTAAAATAACTATGCTGCCCCCTTTTGTCAGCAGATTTAATTACTATGTTGATATTAGTAGTGAGAGTCTGCGGTGCTGATCGTTCAAGGCTGGTAAGGTTTCGTTCACTGGGTTTGGGTTTTTGTGTGGTGCTACACATTTTCAGAAATAAACGACTCGATAAAAGGCCTCTATGCACGGCCCTTTAGATTGTGCAGGATAAAAGTTGGATTGAGAACATGGCGTAGTGTATACAATGGGAGGGGATTGTAAGAGAGATGTTGGGTGAATAAGGATATGCCTTCTTCAGAGGCATTAGGTGTTTCCATGGAGTCTGAGCCTTCAAGATATAATTCCTGTAACAACTCAAGGGCTAAGGCATCATCCATAGTTTGAGGTGAAACAGTGTTGTCATGGTTGGTAATAGGTTGTGAATCCTGTTTTAGCTGATTTAATGTTTAAAAAATCGTTTATAAGATTACGTATAAATTTGTGGAGATCTTTAAACAACTGAAAATTATTAGGTTGGGTCGTGGGGGCAAAGGACAGGCCCCGGCTCAACAAGCTTTGTTGTTCCATGGCCAGAGAATGGAAGATAAATTTAATATTTTTATTGTAGATGTGGTTTCCCGGGATATGGATTTGGGCCTCCTCTTCCCCTGCCTCCTCTTCCCCTGCCTGCCTCCTCTTCCCCTGCCTCCTCTGCCACATGTTGTTTTTTGGGAGGTCTGTGGGGGAGGAGGCTGGGTCCTAAAGACACCGTAGAGACAGGGACTGGAATCGGGGGTGGTGTTGGTGTGGGGAACTACAATGGGGATGTACTGTTCTTACTGTGAAATGAACCAATCTACTGTTTCTATGAAGAGAATTTCCTCCTCTAAAGTGGATTTAAACCCTCCTATCCTTTACAGCCAAGGAAGCTGTCATCTTAGCCTCTGTTTGATCTGCAGTTTCCATGGTGCTGCATATGAAAACAGCTATGACATAAAGCATGTGATGGATTAATAGTTGAGAGCTAACATAAGCACACTAGTAACTGTAACAGTTAACATTTGAGACATGCTTTACATGCAACTGTTCTAGAAAACCATTAAATTGGTGAGATTAGTTTTAGTTGATAGGCAGACTCAGCCCTGCAGCTGGCTATTGCCACTCTCAGTTGTCCAGGCTACGGCAAACTGGACTGGGGAGCTCAACTGTGAACCTTCTCCTTCTATGGATAATCCTGTTCACTCTGCAAAACTTTAGCTCTTAACTCTACTATTCTGTGTAGATGTCATGAGGAAAGATCGTGAGGAAAGTACTGTTGAGAACCGGCAGTTGTTAGAGCAGGGATCGGCACCGATCATCAGGGCACTGATGATCAGTGCCCTGATGATCGGTGCCCAACAGTGCCACCCACCAGTTCTGCCCACTTGTGCCCAGCAGTGCAACCACCTGTGCACACCTGTGCCCAGCAGTGCCATCCAGAAGTGCAACCCACCTGTGCCCTCCAGTGCCACCCACCTGTGCCCTCCAGTGCCATCCACCAGTGCCCATCAGTACAGCCCAGCAGTGCTGCTAGTCAGTGCCACTAGTCAGTGCCCAGCGGTTGTGCCAGTCAATACCTAGCAGTGCCGCCAGTCAGTGCCACCTATCAATGCTGTGTTCATCAGTGCTGCCTATCAGTGCCCATCAGTGCTGCCTCATCAACGCACATCAGTGAAGGACAAAAATTACCTGTTTGCAAAATTTTATAATAGAAACCAAAAACTTTTTTTTTTTTCAAAAATTTTGCACTTTTTTGTTTATAGCGCAAAAAGTAAAACACCCAGCGACGAGTAAATACCACCAAAGAGAAAGCTCTATTTGTGAGAAAAAAATGATACAAATTTCATATGGGTACAATCTTGCATAACCACGCAATTGTCAATCAGTGCGACAGTGCTGAAAGCTGAAAATTGGCCTGGTAAAGAAGGGGGTATAAGTGCCCGGTAGGCAAGTGGTTAATATCTTTTTGGTATGGGTTCAGGCTTTGTACATCGTCTCCCATATACCTTGCCTTTTGCACTCCATGTGCACTATTTTTGCAACTGTTGGTTTTCTTTGTCACCTGCTGCTACCTTCTGTGCACCTCTGGGGTCTTCAAGTACTCTTGCCTATATAAAGCCCTGCCCTTGAGTGTTACCCCCTTAACAGGTCATTTGAAAGAATGGAACCTTTCTTTCTCTGCCCCTGGCAGCCATATTTCAGCCTTGGCTTGTTTTCCCACAGGGTGGTCCATCTATGGATTTTCTCCCTTCTCTTCCATCCTGCTTGGTACTTCTTTTACCCTTTTTCTACGGTTTCTACCCTCAGGCTACAGGTTCTTTCTTCCCTACCTCAGCCCACTCTCCCAGAGTTATGAGGGTTCTTTTATCTCTTCAGCTTCAAGTATGTTTATTTTTTCTCAGGTTGCAGGATCACCATTTTATCTTCTGTTGAGGTTTTCAACACCATTTTGCTTTGTGGTTGTTTGAGCATCTGCTGATGCGTGCTATGGCAGCAAGGAACTTCTGCTGTCAGCTGTCTATTTGGGTCTGTTAACCCTTTTGATTTTTCCTGTTTCTGATATCTTGGCTGTTTCGTTGCCCACACTTGCTTGGGGATATCCTACAGTCTAAGAATCCATGCCTGTGTTCTGTACTGTATGATATAATAGGAATTTTGACTTTCCTGTAAATTCCATATCTTGTGGGGTACCTAACATGGAAATATTTCAAAGCTACCAAGCTAAGCTAATTTTTACTCCTCCTCCCCACCTCTCCATTAACATAAATATTTTCTTTGTCAGGGAGCAGGAACCTAGTTTTTACTCTTACTCTTGCCAACTTCATCTTTAAAAACAGGTTAAAAGGTTGTAAATGTTTAAACTGACGTGTATGCACTAATTGTAACTAAAATGGCTATGATGAATGCTTCCATTCCATTATAATTTTAAAGAAGTTATGACTGTTTTTGTGAAAGAAAGTAACTTTTTATGCTATGTAGATTTTATGGTATAATGTAATTTCAATTATAAGAGAAATAGGTAAGCAGCAGTTAGTGGATGTACATAGTCATTTAATCAGCTTCTGGTTTTATAATGAGAGATATATGAGAGAGAGAGAGATTTTACACTGCTGATGAATGACCAAGAGGAGAGTTACTTCCTCTATCTCTCCTAGCGGAAAAAGGACCAGCTGGTTTAGTAGGTTTCCCACAGACTGTCAAAAAGCATGCAGGCTGTTATGAAATTTAAACAGCATGATATGCTAATTGAAATCCTGTATTACTGAATTGTTTGTAAAATAAAATCTCATTAATAAGTGTTGGTATACTTCACCAGATAGCGTTCTAATTTGCATAACTGTTCAAGTTTGTCCCAACATACTATTTCAATAAATACATTTATGTATCAAAAAAAGTTCACAGGAAATGTTCTATTGAAGCAGAGGCGGAAAAGTGCCCAGTGGCCAGTGTAGTGATGCAAGCATGCATCATTATTGCAATCCTTCCCGTCCCATTACCTTCACCCCCAAAATGTTAGAATGATGATCCACTTTAAATCATATGCAGAACTAAATAAATGTATTACATAAATGAACAACATATTCCTTTCCTTTTTTTTTCTCTCCAGCATGTCGATATTGCAGCTTTGTTGATAAAATACAACACTTGTGTAAATGCCACAGATAAATGGGCGTTCACTCCTCTTCACGAAGCAGCTCAGAAAGGAAGGACGCAACTATGTGCTTTACTTTTGGCCCATGGTGCAGATCCCACAATGAAGAACCAGGAAAGCCAGACGCCTCTAGATTTAGCTACAGTGCGTATTACTCTTGTATAAGTATTACTCTTCCTCAAAAGTTGGTAATTTGACCTCCTTACAGACCTTTGTATGTGCATTAAAGTATAACTAAATGCAAAATTTTGTAGTTTTGGACTGGGTAGAGGGGGATTAGAACACAGTTTTTATTGCTGTCTGTGCTCCTGTTAAGGAGATTCACCCTCTCTATTTGTCCTGTTTATCATTATTAGTGAAAGTAAAAGTAAATCCCACATTTTGGGTTGTCCCCAGAAAAGTAATAGAGGGGAGATTTTCCAATGGGGACACTAGTTCTGGTGACCTGGGGGTCTCCACGGAATTCCCTTAATTTGCAGGGATTTCCTCTCACTTCCTGTTTGGCTATGGGACAGGAAGCGAAAGGAAATCTCCACAATGAGACACAGATGGTGAAAAAAAGTGTTGACAGGAGTTATAAACCCTCCCTTGCTCCATCCAAGATGAAAACATGTTTTGCCTATAGTTCTTCTTTAAGTGCCCTTTTTATGCAAATATAGAGCTGTTCTCAGCATTTTTAAATGCAATGTTTAGGTTTCCGAGATTATTTATTTGTAGCTGCTTGTTATTTGTCCAGAATTTCTGATGCTTTCAATGAGTCTCTGAGCACCTCTGAGTGCTCAGGTAGCATCAGTGCTACACACAGTAGGTCCTCCGGTTTCCTAAATTTGGAAACAAATTTTGTGAGTACCTGCTGTAAAACTGTAAGGCTTCATGTACACTGGGGCTCTTCTGCAAAACACTCGTAAGCCGTGTTTTTTTCAAACGTGTTTAGGCACATCAAGCACTTGGCATTTATTCATTAATTTATTCTGGCCATTGAAATTAAAAAATTGCTAAAAGCACCTAGCCTTAATGTGCATTTAGCAGTGTTTACATGTGTTTAGATGCATCAGGTGTTTTTTTTTTCTCTCAAATCGCTGTTCTTCTCAATGCACAAAATTTTGTGTTTTTTTTTGGGGGTTTTTTCTGTCTCTAAACTTCCCTGCCTCTAAATTCTTGTAAACTATAGTGTGCATGGAAACATAGGTTAACATGGAGGGGAGTTTAGAGTCAGAAAAAAAAAAAACAAAGCTCAAATGCCTGTAAAATCAGTGCTTTTGAGCTCAAGTGTGCATGAGGCCTAAAACTGGGCATACATGGGTCCATTTTTTTCCAATCAGCCAGAGGGTTGATCAAAAAAAAAAAAAAAAAAACGTAATAGATTTCCCCCATCCACACAAGCAAGGTGCACATGAGAAATCCTCTCCGCTGTTTAATTGTAGTTTTGAGAAGATTTCTGCAGTACTGATCAAACAAAAATTTTCCAAGAAGCCCGTTCCTGAGAAGTCAATCAACTTCTCATGAATGGGAACAGCCATAGCTGGATTGCAGTCTGGCCAGTCCCTGGTGAACCAGTTGAATTTTGATCTATCTGTGGTCAGCGTAAGTTTCCACATGTCCTATCAGTAGTTATTTTAAAGTGCTTGATAGGCAGCTGTTGTTGAGCTAAAAGGCCTTATACACACTGGGCATAAAAAATGTTGCTTATACAGGTGCTTTGCTTTACTGCCAGATTGGGGGGTGGAAGTAAGGAAATAAAAAGAAAACATACATTCTTAGTGTTACTAAACCCAGGACACTGCATTCACTATTTCTGGTCTCCCACAGTACATAGAACATGGAAATACTATTAAATTAGTAAATATAAACTTCTTATATACCTTTTCTCATCAGCAGTTAGAGCAGTCTTGTGACTTCTATCGGTGTCCAGCAGAGCACTGGTTAAAGGAGGAGTTCATTCTCCTATGAGGCTGAAGGACTCCTGACCCTCTGTCTGGACAGCGCTGATTGGCCCTGTGCTGATCACATGCACCCTTCCCAAAAAACAAACCAAACTGTGCATGTGCAGCTTGCCCCTTAGACTCTGTTCCATCAGATGGGAATGAGAACACAGTGAGTATAACAAGCATGCTTTACTGCATATACAGATTTTACTATTGTGGGTTTAATAACACTTTAATACTGCTTTAAATGTTTCATTGATCAGGTTGTGCAAATGTTTATCTCTGGAGTAGACTAGACTCTGTAATCTTATTTAGCATATGTAATGCCACACTGAGCTATTAAGCAGTCCTAGTTGTATCATACTTTTTCATCAACATGTTTAAGCTTCATCTTGGTGTTACTATGAAGAAATTTTATTATGAGTACAACTTATGAGTAGAACGGGGTCCAGACAGGTGCTTCAGTACGTCTTCAATTTCCATGTCATACATTTTGGTGGTCCGTTAAATTTATTAAAGCCATTCTAAACCTAATAAAAAACATGGTATACTTACCTGCTGTGTGCAATAGTTTTGCACAGAGGGGCCCCAAACCTCTTCTTATTGGGTCCTCCACCAGGGTTTTCCACTCCTCTTCTCTCAGTGCCCCATAGCAAGCCGTGAGGGCACTTGCGCAGGTGCGCTCCTGAGCCATTTATGTCTATAGTCCTCTCCTTCCTCACTGGTGTTGATTGACAGCAGCAGGTGCCAGTGGCTCCCGCTGCTATCAGCAAGGCCTGTAAGACTAAGAAGAGGAGAGAAGAACTGCTGCAGACAGGACAATGCTGGATAGAGAATGGACTTGGGTAAGTATTCAGGGTAGGTTGCCGGGGGAGCTTCCATTGAAAGTTTTTCACCTTAATGCAGAGAATGCATTAAGGTAAAAAAAACTTTTTGCCTTTAGAATTACTTTAGATTTAATAATTGGTTATGTTAATATATTAAAACTGAACTGTAATTGTCAACATGTACTGTCAGTTCCTTATCAAGACTTTTATATGGTAATACCCGATGTTACTTATTGCAAAGAAGCACTAATGAGGTATAGTGGGGCATTTTATTTTTTTATTTTATACGCCCTTCACCTCTATCAGGTATGCAAGACCATCTGTTTTATAACTATTATCTTTGTGTTAAGGACCCCATAATGGAAAATTTTTTGAAAAGGAATTACTTGCAATTCTAATTCTGAATTGTTCCAGTTTTATTACTATTGGAATTTGTTTTTTTTTCACAAAAAGAAAGTAGTTAACATTGATAAGAATAAACCAGTGCATTTAGCAGAAACCTGCACATAATTTTTCTCTCTATATATTTTAGGCAGATGACATTCGAGCTTTGCTGATAGACGCTATGCCTCCAGAAGCCTTGCCCAGCTGCTTCAAACCTCAAGCAACAGTAGTCAGTGCCTCAATCATCTCTCCAGCATCTACTCCCTCTTGTTTGTCTGCAGCTAGTAGTATTGATAATTTGACGGGTCCCCTTACTGACCTTGCAGTTGGAGGAACATCTAATGCTGGTGATGGAGCAGCAGGCACAGAGAGGAAGGAAAGTGAAGGTAAAACTTTAAAGCTGAATAGTTAATAGGAGTATGCAAATGTATGTATTAAAATTGCCTTAAAAGCACTATATCTTACCTTGAGAAACCATTTTTTTCCCTTTCATACAGTAGGTTTAGAATAGATTTCTCTTATGTTGACGGACAAAGCATCATCTTCTTTATCCATAACCAAACAAGGTTTTTATAGCCCCACCTACAGGAATAGGACACTAGACAGGAAAAAAAACTCGACATCGTCAGTCCTCTCTGGACATAAAACCCCTCTCAGTACTCTGTCGGCTACTATGATGTCCCAAGGGCCGTGGTGGCCAGCGAGTTAAACGTCTCCTGGGGACACATATGACCAGGTGCCTATAGTCTGTGTCACAGTGTTACCCCTGGCCGACAGCCCCCCCACTCATTTATTGTCGCCAGCGGACACAATATGGAGGGACATGGCTCTGTTTACTCATGGTTGTGAGGTTGACTTCTGCCCTTGCCCTGTGGCCCAATATCCCCTCAAAGATCACACGTTGCGCGCTTAACGGAGTGCACAAGGGTTACTGTCGCCTGACATGAATGCCCAACGTGGCACACTGCCACATTAGCGGAAAGAGTGAGCAGACACCCTCTCTATGCCCGGTAGGGCATTTCTAGGCCACATATGTCCTTGGATTTATAGCAGCAGTTATATTCCATCTAGGCAGTTTTTTTCCTTCTACTAGTATCGTGGTAGTTGGTTGCATCTCTGCAACGTTCCATGCGGACTCATGGCTGTTGTACGGGAAATGCGGGTGGTGAGGACCCTCCTTGAAAAATGGACCTCTCCTCCTGTGGGGGAACCCCCTATTATACCCAGCTGAGCAAGGCCATCGTGAGCCCGGTTAAGGAATTTCCTCTCCTACGGACCCTTTGAAAGTGTGGTGGCGCCTGTAGCCCGCTCCAGGTTCACCTGTTCACCGCTCCAGCCTGTGCTGGCCTCAGTCACACATGCAAAGAATAGATGCTCCAACCCTTATAGCATGTTTTCCATAAGGTGTATATATCTCACCGAATGAGCCAGGGTTTTTTTTCAGCCAGCCTGGGCTTTTAGCTGGCTACTTTCAATGTAAGCGGAGCTGGTGGACTAGTTGGTCCAGGGACTACAGTGCGTTTTGTGGCCTGCCTCCTGTCGCAGCCCCTCTCCTCTCCCAACTCTCCGTTTTCAGCGGTAGTACTGCAGTGGATCCTGTTGCTCAAGTGTTGGTCACCTGACCAGACCTCCAAAAAGGCCCTGGTGGACTTACCCTTCCAGGAGGACTGAAGTTTTGGGGATATGTAGGCCGATCTTTTCCAGAACCTTGGGGTGGCCAGAGTACCCTTCTGCCTTAGTCACAGAAGGGTAAGGAGCCACGTAGGAGCTCGGGACTGACCTTTGCAGCACATCAGAGGATCTTTTTATCCCCTAGGTCCTTGACAAAGGATTCCAATTCCCTCCCATAGGCAGCGCCAGGCGCCCTGGTCCCAGAAGCCTTCCTAGCCTGAGGAGGAGTCCTCGGAATGCACGCTGCCCGCACCCATTTCCAGGGTGTGGGCTCTTGGACTTCCCTCATTCCCGCTGAGTGGGTCCATGAACTAATTTTCTCAAGCTATAAGCTGGAATTTCATTTATTTCCATTGGATGTGTGCTTCCCTCCACTCTGCGGCTCTCGCTGACACGTCTGTGGGCCCTGTATGGGGCTGTACAGGATCTGCATTCAAGCACGTTCTCAATGGGGAAAAATGTCATGCTGGATATCTATACTGATATGGACTGTGTAACGTGTTAGGAACGTAAGGGTGCCCGATCGTTTCATGGAAATGAAAATTATCAACCTACAGAGGACCGAATTCAAAGACGCCCCAATAATCAAAGTGAAAAAATTATGCAGCAGGCTAGTCCATTTTGCTGAAATTTCATTGGAGCAACTCAAAATGGTAGTGTGTATGCCCCCACAAGCTTGTATGCATACCTGACAATGTCGGGGCATGCTCCTAATGAGACGATGGATGGTATCCTGGGATATTTCCTCCCAGATCTGGACCAGGGCATCACTGAGTTCCTGGACAGTCTGAGGTGTAACCGGGTGGCGTCGTATGGATCAAAACATGATATCCCCAAGCTGTTCTGTTGGATTTCGATCAGGCGCGCATGTGGGCTATTTAGTGGTATCAGTTCCTTCATCCTCCAGTAATTGCCTGCATACTCTCGCCACATGAGGCTGGGCATTGTCGTGCACCAAGAGGAACCCAGGACCCACTGCACC